GCTGCACATTGTAAATTCATAGAAAGGACTTTATTACTGATGACAACACAATGAAAATTTTTCCTCTGAGAATGCCCAGAACAGTATGCTCTCAATGGAAATCCCACACTTGTGTATTTAAAATGTATGTATTATTGATAGAAAATATTAGTATATGACACAGACTGTGGTACCAATTCCAAGATTTTGCATTTATTTCTAATTTATTTTGTGTGTTACTTTGCAATCTCACCACCTTTTCTTTTTCTAAGAAATACTCAAATCAGACTTGCATAGTTTTGCATACCCATATACTTAAAACACTAAACATGTAGTTCGTGTAATAAAAATGCTACTGTAATGAACCCACTAATATATTACAGTCAAGTAGATTAAGAGCTTGGTCTTTAAAGCAACTGTGACAGTAGCTAGAACTTCACCAAGTTTCACCTTTCTTCTCTTACAAATTTGCACATTGCAATTCACTTGGCTCAGTTGAACCTGTGCAATTACAAAGGTCTGTATATAACCCAAATAATCAGAGTCCTATTCCAAGAGCTGGGGAATGTGAACTTCTTCCAGAGAGCATGAAAACAGCAGTAGGTTGAGTTATCCTTTCTCATTTCCTCACTCATAACTCACCCATGTCTGCCTGAGCTGAGCACCTCACATCAGCACACAGGATCACAGAGGAACCTGGGTTGGAAGGGATGTTTGGAGGTCACCCATCCAACCCCCTACTCAAAGCAGGCCTATTAGATCAGGGTTTTCAGGGCAACTTTCTTTCCATTCTGTGTTTCTTTCCATTCTCTCCACTCATCCAGCCACATCCTCCTTCATGCCTTTGGTTCCCCACAGTGTTACTTTTTGCTCTTGGGGAGCCCAAGCAGTACGTGAGAATGAGCAGAGCAGTCTATGGACAGGAGGGGAATGAGGATGTGGTGGAGCAGATAAGGGTTAGCAGGAGGTGGAGGAGGAGAAAGAAGGGTGGGAGGAGGTACTGGGGAGACCAAGGTTATGCAAAGGATTGGGGAAGCGGCTTTGTGGTAGGAAGGAATGCAGTTTCTGTGCCTTAAGGGTTCCCTCTGAGCTTCTGTTTTAACTCCCCAGCAGCAGAGCAGCAGTGCTTTAGGTAAAAGAAGCCCTTTGACCACTGGTACCTTTGTGCAGAATGCTTCGATTCCTCTGCCTTATGCAAAGTGAAGAATGTTTGGGTGCTGAGCTGGGCATTTGCGTATACAAATCAGTTTGGGTTCTTTTAGATTTACCTAGGTTTCTGAATTTTGGGTGTCTGCTTTCAGAAACATAATTTTAGATTTCTTCTCTAGATATTCCCTATTCCATTTTTTCCCCACTCACCCACACTGTGCTTTCCTTTCTCTGCCAGCCTGAGCTATCAATTCCCAGCTCTTTGTTCAGCTTTTCTCCATGCCTAGATTCAGCCAGTAGATGCCTCCATATTTAGTAGATTCCAATTGCTTTATTCTCAATGTCCTTTTTCAACTTTGGCCCAGGTAGTTCATTGCTTCCTCTAGGGCCAACTTTTCTCACATATGCATCCAGTCATCTTCTCTTTATGTGAATGGTTCTCAGTTCCAAATTATTTGTTCAGCCATTTATAGCTTTTCCATCCCACATCCTCTTATGGTTTCAGTCTTATCACCAGTTCTCTTCCCTCCGCCCCATTTCTATCCCAGCTCCCCATCTAATACTCCTGTCCTTTGAGAATCTATTTCAAATCCCTCCCATATTACCTAGAAAAACCAATTTTCTCCCCCAATCCATCTTTCAATCCCACATTTTTACTTCCTCCTCCCTCTCAAATTGGTGTGATCCCTTCTCTCTCTGAAGTTCCAACTATTTGCCCCCCAACCTTTATTTTGATGTGCCTGAGGGAGATAACATTTGGAGCACAGGACACAAAGGCTGCTTGCTTTTGGTTCAAGTGTCTGAATTAAGTTAAGTCCCACATTAGCCCTGACATAAAGGCATAGAAAACTCTGATGACCCCTGGACTGGACCCCACTGACCAAAAAAATAACTTCTTCAGAGGATGGAATGTAGAAAGTTCTCACTGAGCATATGCAGACTGCATTTTTTCCCCCATAGTCTAGAACATGCAGCGACTCAAGCTCTCTATCATGAAGCCAGTTAAAAGAATATCCCTGAAATGAAAGCAAGTTGCTGTCAAATATACTGAAAGAAGTAAAATATGGAGTACAAAGAGTAGGGATACAAAATGGCTGTGCAGAGGAAAGCTCAAATAAGCAGGACCAGCATTACCCAAATCTCCTAAGTCCCTGTAAACTCAAGTTCTGTCAATAAGGTCAAGTGGCTTTGCTCTGTACACACCCGCACTCTGTGATTCAAAAACTCAAAGGAAACAGTGAGGATTAGGTTGGATATTGGGAACAGACTCTTCACCCAGAGGGTGGGTGGGCACTAGAACAGAGCTCCTAGGAAAGTCACAGCAGGAGCCTGCCAAAGTTCAAGGAGCATCTGGACAACGCCCTCAGGCACCTGGTGTGAATAGTGGGGCTGTCCTGAGCAAAGTCAGGAGCTGGATTTGATGATCCTTGTGGATCCCCTCCAGCTCAGGATATTCTGTGATTCTGTGAGCACTTCAGTGGATGAGTCCTGCGGGGTCTGTGCTTTGCACTGAGCCACCTCAGCTGTCCCACCAGCGCTGTCCCACCGCCGGCAGCAGGAATCTGCAGCCACTGAGGCAATTTTACTGCCTTGTCCTCAGAAACTGCCGAGCCGCCGAGGAGGTGGTAAATTCGTGACACAAAGAGGCAGAGAAACAAATAAACAGAAATAGAGACAAGAAATTAAATGGCATGACAGAAACTACCAGGAAAAGAAGCCCAAAATAGAAAAGTAATATATAGAGTTTCTGCCTGGATACCTACATTTGGGCAGAGTCACAAGCACCTAAATACATAGCCTTTTAATAAGAAGTTAGGTAGTCTTTTCCTTGGTTTTCTCTGTAGTTATCCAAAATTGCACAGCCTGTCACTGCAGGCCACCAATTTCTGTCATTTTTGAACTTGATTTTGAATTATGTGGTGAAAGGCACTGTATGAAGCACAGAGCAATAACTTCAGTAATTCTTCCGAAAAGGAAGAATTTTCCCTCTCACTCACTTTTTAAGCACAGGCCCTGAGACATTTATTACATGTTGCTTCACTGTTCTTGTACATTAGTTTCATCTGAATACAGGATGAAACTTCACACACTTGCTAAACAATTATCTAGTGTTGCAGTGCACTAGAAAGTAGTTATCACAATCCACTACACATCTGTTTTGGGTCAGTGTAACCATTGAAATTATATGTTTTATTTGCATATCAGTTTTGTTATTAAAAGTAGTAATATCATATTATATCACGTAATATTACATAATGTAATATAATATAGAAAATTCTAGAAAAAAGTTTACTATTGCAACAATGCTGCCACCTGGTAACCTAATGTGTAATAGCAGACAAAACATCAATTTTTCCCAGTCTTGAACATAGCAGTATAATTGAAATATTACTTTAAATCACATTAAAAATAACAAAATCTGCAAAGAGTTATTATTGGATTAGGATCATTTCCCTGCATCAGATTAAATCCTCATAGCTGGGTTTCATTGTGAGGAAGAAGTGAGACACAAGCCCTTTGAAAGGTTTCAAGTGAAAGCAAATAGCCCAGATTTCCTGACTCCCAGTGAAATACCTCAGGCACAAGACAGTCGCCAAATACGTATCACGGTAACTTGTGCTCCACTAGAAACACAGGCAATGGAAAATAAACACAGGTGACATCCTGCCCATCTTCCTCACTCATCCATAAAAAATTGCTTCAGGGGAAGGGGAGGAAGCATTTGGCCTCAAATCAGAAGAGATATCAGCAGTGTTTCTTGCACGTTCACATTTGTCCTACCAGCCTACTGAGGGAGTCAGATGTGAAAGACAGACACAGAGCACAGTGACTGATGAGCTGCTTGCACACTGGTCTATTCTGAACTTCATGCCAAAAGAGGAAATAATTTTAAAATTTGTTTTCTACAAGATAGTAAAGCTGGAGGAAAAATGAAAACCACACCTTTTTTTTTTTTAAATTATTTTTTCAATACTAGTGGTGGCTAAAATATGCTCAATGTTCAGCCTCCAGAGTTTTTCTAGCAAAGCTTAAAACTCAAAATTGATAAAACATCATGATAATAAAAGAATGATTGTCCACAGTTACTATTTTGCCATATGCTAAATATATGAATAAGTAAAAAGCAAAGATCGGAGCATGAAATGGCCATACAAGAATAATTTTCTAGTGAGATTTTCCCCCAGATCTTTTTTATATGATTAAGCAAAACTGAAACTTCTAGTGGTATAAAATAGAACCTTGGAATGATTTAAAAAATTATATTTAAAAGAAGAAGAAAAAAAAACCTTGCTAGTTATCAAGAAACGTATGCTGTGGATCAAGTGGGTGGATAGGGAGGGAGGACTAAAACTATATAAGTAGTGTCATGCTTTCTGCTTGTGACTGCAAATGTCAGTATTGTGTAAGTGTCTCTGCAAAAGAAAGTTCTTTCCTTAAAGTTCACAGTTAGTTCTACAAATACAGTCTTTGGCTGAAGAGCTAAAAAAAGAAACAACAAAACCAGTATGTGAGGGGCTGTTCAGCTCTGACCCAATTATGATAAAAACAAAAACTGAAATAAGTAATAAGAACGTAAGCAAATGCACACTTAGACTAAGCAGGTACCAGCACACAGGAGATGTAGCCATCAGATCTAGTTTGCTGCATGTGCTATAAACATGGCAATACATGCCTGGAGCTAGAAAATGCACCGCACACGCGTGCAGCATCACACTGTGCTCTGGTTTATAGCAGCAGATCCGTGGTAGCCACTCCTGGGTGGCCTGAGCTCCCTGGCTCCTGGAACTTGGCTATATTTAGCCCGGCTGATGTCGCCTGTCAAGTGTGTCCCGCTGCTGATAAGGTGCCTAGTCGACAACGGGGGGGATCGAGGGGAGGAGCAGCATGGGGGCTTCCATCCAGTGCTTCTTTAGGGGGTCTCAAAAGCCCTGCAGTCACATTCCCGTGTGATTCATACCCTGCTTCCTAGATGCAGCTGGGAGCTCCACCAGAAACAAAGTGAAGATGCCAGAGCCGGTAAAGAAAACAGGTAAGGATCGTAACTGGCAGACAAAACTAAGAACAGCTTGACAGGAAAAGTGTGAGTAGATTATGTATTCTAGAGAAATGAGATGTCTCAATGGAAAAAAATAAATAGATAGGAAAAGGAAATTTTATTTTATTAAGTTATAAATGTAAGAGATATTGAGTGATCTTGAAAAGAAATCACTAACTGCTTTGATAACCTCAGCCACAGAATTTTCTCAAGAGACTTTGGATGAGGAAGAAATAGAGGTGAAATGCATTTAATTCTCAAATGCTTTTAATTTCTCCTTTCCTTTCTGGTCACCTTTAGGACTCAGAAAAAAAAATAAGTAAAGGCTTGTATTGACTCTTGGACAGTTAAATAGTACAAACCTCTCCTGCTTTTATTTCGGGTTTGGGTTTTTTTCCCCTGACAATTTGTAGAAGAAATATTGCCAAAAAAATTGATGGTGCTTATTGTGAATGAAATCTCTGTGAAAATGAAAGCAAACAGTACCTGGTCAGAGTTTATTCTTTCTGTTTCTTTCAATGACTGAGAATAGAACTCTAGGGAAAAAAGGCTTTTGATTTATACTGTGAAGAATACATGCAATTTCTTTTCTCTTGCCCTTCTTCATTCTTTCTCCTTGAGCCAGAAGATAACTCGCCCTTTTCAGGAAACCAAGGTCACAGGGCCACATAGAAAAATGCCAGAAAAGTATTTCAGATTTATGAATGTTTTAATTAAAAATCTTCAAATAAGGAATCACTCAGATGCAGCCCACATAGAGGAGGCCTAGAACAGGGTACAAGGTGCAATGGATCTGGTGTTTTGATGAGGAAGAGAGCCTGGGAAGAAAAGGAAGAGGCACTTAACTTCAGGACACCTGCAGAGGAAGACATCTCAGGAGCACTTTGCATCCACAAGTTTGGAAAAAAAAGCTGACAAAATCTGAATTTATGATTGTTTGTCAATTGTAAACATATTCAATAGTCAGGCCTGGAGAAACTTGTACTAAATCTGGGATTCTCCACTTTAGAGCTGTCACTTCATAGATGCCAGTGCACACCCAGAATCACCACTACCTGAATGTGCAATAGAAGGTGCACATGTTTTTAATCATGTGCAGTTTCCAGAGTTAGCCAGTGACAGCTGTGGAGATTTATTAATAATGGCCTTTGTGCTTTGCAAAGGCCTGAGCAGGCATTGGTCTCCTCTCAGTTTGGCCAGTGAGACAATCTCCTATGGTCACAATAACAAAAGAACTTGCTAAGAACCTTCATTTGACCAAAACATTTGAAATCAGCCACTGCCAGAAGCAGACCTATTACACACCCAGAGTCTCCCCCATTACAACCTGCAAAGAACCAAAGCATGGTTAACTCCAACAAGATTCTTTATGTTCACTCTGTATGATAACCCTAAAACAACAGTGGTGTCAGCAACCCTTCCATTGTATTACAAATATAACATCATTTCATGTTCATGAGGTTACCATTTCTAATTAAAGTAGATTTGTATATAAAAAAGAAATATATATTAGATCCCGTAATTGTACACATAAACGTGAAAATATAAGCTGCAAAGGTTCAGTAATCACTCCAAAAATGAGAAAATCATACTCATATTCTGCTTTTAAATCATACAACTTTTAGGTTTTATTGAAAATGTCTCATTGTTGTGAATGCAGACAAAAATAAATACAATAGAGTAGGCAAAATTTGACAGTGATACCTTGGCATTATGACTTCTGATTTCTAATTGTTTAACTGCCTTTTAATAAATATTTTCATTCTCTGTGGGTGAGAGGCAGTGTCTCTGTTTGTGAAGATGCCCACTTTTGCTGGCTAATGGTGAAGAGAAATTCTATTCCAACTTATTTCTCCAGAGAAATCTAACAGGTGTCTAACATCACTAGTCCCACGCAGTTCTTATGAGCAAGCTAGACCAAACACTGGGATTATCACAGCAGGGGGAGGAAAAGCTCTTGTTACTCACTCTGACCGAGACAGAACCAGTCACATGCCCCACAACTTTTAGAGAGGATCTTCTCAGTCTCCCAGGAGACACTAATCCCTTTGGTTTTCTATTTCATGTTGTTTATACAGTTCAAGCCATTTCAAGATGGGATAATGCTGAGCATCATCTCAGGAGGGCCAAATAACCACTGGGCAATTCATACTTGGATAAATCACAATTCCTGCCTTTCACACATCATATAGTTAGATTACTGAAGAGTCCAAAGAAGTCCCTAGTCTGTATTACTGAAATTTGTGCATCTGGTGTATAGGCAAAAGAAATTTCTTCATGTCAAAGAATGACCAGAAAAAAAAAAAAAAAAAAAAAAAAAAAAAAAAAAAAAAAAAAAAAAAAAAAAAAAAAAAAAAAAAAAAAAAAAAAAAAAAAAAAAAAAAAAAAAAAAAAAAAAAAAAAAAAANAAAAAAAAAAAAAAAAAAAAAAAAAAAAAAAAAAAAAAAAAAAAAAACAACAAAAAAACCAAAAACTAAATAAACAAAACCGTCCAAAAATTCCCACCAGAAAACCAAAAATCATTGAATAAACCATTAAACTTAAAATGGCATGGTGAAGTAGATATTCTTTCACTTTCAACTGCCCAACTAAAATACTTCAGGGTAAAGCACTCCACGACTTATTTCAAGAATGCCAAAAGTATTGTCTTTGCATTTTAGAAAATCTACACCATCCACAAGAGCAACAGAATGCATAAGACCTGTAAGAGTTTAGTGTCAGAGCAAACAATCAAATTTTGAAAATCACCACTTTTTGCAGGATTCTGTTGCAGAAACTTTATGTTCTTCTCTTTGATTTAAACTCTTCATAGTTTATCTTTGGAAATTTTGATCATTTTTTTGTTCTGAAAATTCAGAAATGTTAAACAAACCCCAACCATTTCCCTAACAATATTTTTGACATTAGGAGGAAATAGTTGACTTCTTAAACACCAAATTTAGTAGATAAATAGGACTTAATGGGAAGTGTGTGCATTATTATAGCTGGAAAAAGGAGAAGTCTATATTACTCACCTTCTCTGAAAATCTGTCAGCTTTTACTCACATATTTTATAGATTGGGGAGTCTATATTTTGTAGTTCTGATTAGGAAATTTCATCAAGAATTTACAAATAACTCGTAAGTACACAGAGGCTTCCGTAATTAAAAAAAAAAAAAAAAAGAGTAAACTGCAGAATTTTAGTTTGAATATGAGATCATTCTTTCACATTTGCAAGTATCTAGCACAACAAACTTCTTTGCACCACAGGAATGCAGAAAAAACCCTAAATTCATACAGACATAGTTTTCTATTTTGTAAGTTAAGATTCAAACCAAGCTGAACACTACTATCCCCCTTTTCCAGAAAGTGTAATGGATGCATAGAGAGGTGACTGATTAGTGAAACTATTCCTTGCCTGTTGCTCATGTTGCAGGAATTTGCAATCTCAGCTGCTGAAGTAGGCAAGGAATGATAAGATTGAGGCTTTCAATAGCTTTTGGATCATGGAATGATTAAGCTTGTAATTGCAAGAAGCCACTTAGGTCCTGACTGAGGAATGTGCAGCATCTTTATATAGTTCCTCAGAAAGGAATTTACAAGCTCCATTACTGAACTTGGCTTAACCTGTTTGGCTTTTAACTCAATGGAAGAGCAAATGATATAGAAGCAAAACTAGATGCCAAGTGTAAGAAAAGATCAATTTTCAACATGAAGTCTTAACAAATTAAAGAATTCCAAAAGCTAATACTGCTTTTGTAATATTATTAAAATATATTGACCAATACATATGTTAACACCAAATCGAGAGAATGTGCAGTAAGATAACTCAGCCGTGATTATTTTGTCTAATTTCACTCGTTACAAATTTCCTGTAGTTTCTAGCATCTGCATCAACCAGATATATTAGATTATCCTCAAGAATGTATACCTTTAGCAGGTTTTATTTCAGAAAGGCAGAAATATCATCTGAAAATGTCATCTAACACACATTCTCCTGTACCACTCTATGTAGTTAAAATCACTCTTGTAGAAAACACATTTCTTGCTCACTTTCATTGCACATAGTTCACACATACTATGAAATTCCAATATTTCAGGAATATGTTTTCAACTGATTCTTGTGACTCTAAGCCAGATTATTTAGGGAATGTTGATAGCAAATGAAATTATTTTGGTAATTTGAACATTACTTTAATATACACCTTACCTCCATTTTTTCTGACAATAATAAATAAGAATTACTCTTCTAGCTTCTAATAGTAATTTTTATTCCTTTTAGAGATACAACAGTACTTAGCAGCTACCTACTAACAAGTTAATGCTGTACAAAGACAACAGGAATACAGTCTCTGCCTCAAAACACTCATAAAACAAAAGCCCAGTAAATAGATATTTCAACAAGAGAGTAAAGGAAACATTATTTGTACAATAGATAGAAACCCTGGTAGTAGCGTAGCCATTTTTGGGGGTTTGCATAGAGTGTATGAAAAAGACCTGAATCATAATAATAAACTTGTTTGGTGATGGATGTTAGAAGGACATTGCTTGAAAGCAGGTCAGAAAGTAAAGGAGAAAGCTTGAAGATGCTAGTATGAAGATTTAATAAATTAGCAGCAGAATGAGGAAGAATACTAGTTTTGTTCTTTTATTTAGGTGACTACTACAGAAAATTAGATTTAGAACTGAAATTATTTCATTCTAGTTTAATTTGGCCCAAAGCAAATGTTTTTTATTTTTCTTCATCCTCCTGATTGAAAGACCTGCTAGTAAATTTTCAAAATGCAATCTGATGACAGATCTCCAAACAGAGGTTTTTATTACTGACCAGTTAAGCTGTAATTTGTGTAACATATATAGTGTTATGGCTGATGTGTACATCTTCAGGTGTTTCCAGAGTTTTAGAAGATGCAAGTTCTGGCTGCTGCAGCCTTAACCACCAAAAAGTTTCTGCAAGATAACTGCAGACCACATACAGCTGTTTCCTCTTCTGCCTGGGGTAAAATTTGCTGGTTTATGTTACTCAGAAGTTATGTGAGTGTGTTTGCATTATGGAAGCTAGAAGTGATTAGGAAGGCCTGGGTTATGAGAGGTGAAGTGCTGAAAAATGGGTTAGTACAAAGTGGCCCTAGGCTCATTTTCTTTCATTAGCTTCACATCCCTCTTCTCTCCCTCCATTAAATCCCCAAAGCAACACCAATTCCATCCCCACTAAACACACAGAACACCTTCAACACTCTGTCTTCATCAGCACTGGTAACTCACACGGCTCTCTGCTCTCTCTCCAGAAGTGCCATGGTGTGCCAGTACTGATGTCACCTTTCTCTCCCCCTGTGCTGGCTGGGTCAGAGCATCCCAGGAATCAGAGTTAACACAGTGGGCAGCAGAGGACATCAGCTGCCCCAGCCCTATGGCGCCTAACTGCATGGGCACCTGGAGTCTGGATAAACACAGGACAGCATCTGACACAACATCACACAAGATGTGTCACAGTCACTGGGTTTTCCACTGCCTCATGGTGGTGGTTATATTCAAGAGTGTTTAGAGTATGGGATGGATCTATAGAACTCAGAGTGATATATCTGGGTAGAAGCCAAACACTGAAGTGAGAGAGATTGTCAGATGAGGAATGTGTTTCTGATAAAAGCAGGCAGAAGTGTGGTTCTCAGGACAGACCAGAAGTTTTAGATAGTGCTGTTTAGGAGCATTCCTAATGAGGAAACACCTGAATTGGATTGGTACAACTGCGTGAGAAAAAGAAAACCTCTGGTCAGCTTGGATTTACACATTACTTAAGTAGCACCAGCAATGAAGGGGTGGGGAATAACTGAACTCTTTATCCTGTTGAGCAGCCCCTTTTTTTCCCCAAAAGGGAAAAATACTGTATTCTCTTCACATACTTGTTCAATCTCTCTTCTGCAGCAAAGTAATTTCCTGTAAAATCAACAGCCCTACATCTTTAGTTTTCCTTTGCAAAAAGAGCAGTGAAAGATGAAAGAGAATACAGCTGGATATAGAGAAGCCACTACGGACACTGCCCCTGACTGAATCTCAAATATTAGAATATTACTGCCCCTGACTGAATCTCAAATATTAGAAAAAGACTCAATTAAAACTCAAGTCTCCTTTACCAGTGAAAAAGTGGGTACACAACAACTGTCCTTGCAGGCCTTTGTTCTCATGGGAGATTTTGGACTTTTGCAATTCTGTGCTTACCAGAAATATTCACAATTGTTTTAAGCTGGAACTGAGTTTTTTGGCAGGACAAGGGGAAAGGAGGGAATACACGGAGTCTTACTCATAAACCTCTGTACATGTGTTTAGATTTCCTAAAGCCAGAATTCTTATGTAGGGTAGAGATTTCTCACTGTGTTCTCACCAATAATTTTGTTCTTGTTGAGTCATCTACAAAGCAAATGTAAGAAATCTAATCACTTTACAGAGTGTGCAGCAGATCAGAGTTACTTCCAAGTATGCGTGTCATGAAACCGCGACACTGTAGGCTGGAACCTTTACAAATCACTTTGCTGTTAGGTAATTTATATATTTATAGATTCTTTTGTGCTTAAATAGAAGAGTGATGATAGTAGCACTCAAAGACTGAAAACTCTTTGCTGCTTTGTTTGTAGAATCATAGGGAAAGGAGCTAGCTAGTCAGTAGTGGAGTGGGTACCAGAAGTGACCTGTCTCCCCACTGTGCAGCAGCCTGGCCACCTTTCCAGGTGTTTTGAATCCTGCATGCCCAGCCTGCTGTGTACAGTAATTCTCCTGCAATTATTTAGGAAACACTGCACCAATACACACCCTGCCCTGCTGTGTTATTTACAGCAGTGCAGTACAGTATCAAAAGGTGTGCAGCTGGTAACAGGCAGCCCACTGTAGGACACTATAGTACATAGTCCTATATTCTACAAAGCACTATATTTTAAAAGAACTATTGCACCAGATTAGAAAAAGCCTCAATTACAAGCATGCAGGAACATTCCACTCCCAGGGGAAATTTCCCACACTTTTAACAGGGAAGGAAAGCATGCAGAAGAATAAAATAGGAGGTAAGTCAAGGCTTTTGTAGGCTCATTGAAAACTAAAATTGTTTTCATCAGAAATATAAAAAAGGTGTGGGGGGGAGAAGAAAAAGAAATTGAAAAAAATGTAATTTTGGTTTTTATATAATGAAGAAAAGCAAAATTCAGTCTTTACTAAATTCTAAAAGTGTTTGTAGTTGATATTTTAACTGATGCTTAAGAAGGTTAAAATTCTTGCAAAACAATGCCAGAAGCATGAATTGTGTTATGACTAAAGACTAAAGGCCATCAGATTAAATCCTTGCAGATATAACTCAATAAGGCTAACTAAATTATGCAGTCTGAAGACATGTTACAAAAATAGAGGTTTTATAAAAATAATATATGGCATTATTAATAGTATACCATTTACATGAACTAAAGCACTTGTTTCAACATTAATATAAGCTTTTCCTTTCAAAACATGTTCATGCCATGTTCCTTTCATTTTAATAAAGCAGAACTAAAAGTTCAAAGCTAATTATAACTGTTGTTGTGTTGTTTGGAAGAGTTCTTGTGGCAGCCAGAGGAGTAGGGCCGTAGACAATTTGCCACAGAGGTGACTGATAAAATTAGATGTGATAAAATTACTAGTATTTTATAAAAATGTAGTTATACAGGGGTGAGTCAATAGAAAGATGACAGAATAATGCACAAAAAACATACAGTGTATGAAGCAGAATGTTAATTGCTGATATTTTTACGTATGAAAATAGCTCATGGCAATTAGCAAATGATAACAGATTTCATTAAGACAAAAAACATGAGCATGAAATTAAAAACTTGATTCAAAATAAAGATGAAGAAATATAAATAAATAAATAAATCAGGTTAAAGAAAATAGTAAAACAAGTTACTTTACTAAAACCTAATCTTGAGTGAGATTAGGATACTCATGGATCAAAATCATGATACCTTGCTTGTTTACAGTTTCCTCTCTGCTGTGGTACTTCGATTCCATATGAATTAAAACATCATTTGGTTTACACTTGTTCAGCCTATATATTAATAATGTCATTAATTCTCCTTATAAGCTTCCGAAGTGTTTCTTGACACATTGAGGAAATATTTTAATCTACTTCTTGAAAATTATTAGAAAACTAATTGTTGTAGAGTGTCATGTAGGCAAGTGCAACTTTAATGCTGAAGTAAACTTCTGAATACAAACAATTGATATCATTTTAGCTGGAATGGAATTACAAGGGTCATGATAGGAATGTGAATTCCTTTTCACTAAAGCCTTGATCAGTCAAAACAGAAGGACTAAAGATGAACCATTAATTCCTTGTGGTGTATTAGGGCACAGGTTACTGCACAAAGTGTTGTGGAAGAGCAGATCCTGGTCCACTGTAACAACTGTCCTAAGCAGCTGTTAGGACAAAATTAATAATTCTAGATGAAAGTGCATGGCAAATTAATGTAGACAGCTAGATATGTAAGAATATATTCCATGCTTTCTTGTCATAGACCAAAACATTCACTTATGAAAAATCAGAGCTCAATATGGGGAAAAAGAAAGAGGAAGACAGAAAGTGAGGTGATTTTCCTATCCATTCCACTTTATTTCATGGCAATGTGGAGGACATACGACATCTCAGTGAGACACAGAACTTGATAAACTCAAAGATAATTCCACGGCTTCTCTGTGTAAAGTGTTGTAATTTATAACTTGCACGGGCAGATGGGAAAGAAAGGAGACAGCTGCTGCAGCCACAACAGCTGACTACACCAGATATGCCACAACTGCAAAACAGATTTTAGTGAGCCCTCTCTCTTTTTTTTAGTTTCTGCATTTACCAAGAAGCCAAAGACAACAGAGGTGACAGCCGGAAACACAGCTGTGTTTGAAGCAGAGACAGAAAAATCTGGCATCAAGGTGAAATGGCAGCGAGCTGGCACAGAAATTACTGAAAGTGAAAAATATGTCATCAAGACAGAAGGCAACAAGCATTCACTGACAATCAATAATGTAGGAAAAGAAGATGATGTGACATATGCTGTAATAGCTGGAAGTTCCAAGGTCAAATTTGAACTCAAGATCAAGGAACCAGGTACATAATTTCCTATGCAATTCTGGTTTAATCAGTATTTCCAGTCCCACATGCAACCTTCACAGATAAACACATGGAAATTAGCCTATTATAACACTGTAAAATTTCTCTACCAGTAATACATCTGTTTTGCCCAATTATTTGAAGCTGCTAATTCATATTAAGCTGAGGAATACATTTCCAGTGGCTAAAGCACCTCTTTCCAGGTATCAGAAGTCCACAGAGAAGAGATCATAGGGGAAATGTCAATGTACACCTTTAGAATTCTGTCAAGATTTTACACTTAACTACTGAAAAGCAAAGCAAAGTAAAGCTAATCTAACTCTCACCCCGACCTAAACTAAGATGCCTAATCTTAGGACTGGAATTTTCTTATAATAATTTAATTTAAATACAAAATTGTAACAATTGACAAAGCACAAGTCTTACTGTAATGTTTCTAGAAGCTCATACATTCCCCAAATCTCCTGCTACCAAAAATATGTATTTCAAGAGGGGTTTGAATATTTTGAATGTTTGTGTATCTCCCGTTATTACTACCTTTGTACACATTAAAAGACCAGTTTCAAAAACTTTCCCAGGCTTTTCCTGGGAATAAATTAAAAATATAAATTCCCTGGAATTTTCTCATGAAAAAGCATCTGAAGATGCTTAGCATAGATGAAATCACTCATTTTTTGATACATTTTGACCTTCCAGATACCTTTTTCCCTTCTAAAATTGTATCCATTTACCACTTCTGGTATTTGACTTTTTGCTTTTCAACTTGGTGAAAAGCCTCAAACTCACATTGTTCATATCACTTCCTTTTCTTTGCTATCACTGTTTGTTCTAGCAACATGATGAGACCTTTTGAGACCTTCTGGTCAGCTGAAAAGAAATGGAGGAGTGTTTAACATGATTCAAGATGTCCTGTTCCATATGCAAAGACAGGACATGACAGATTATGTGTAAAGGGAAATCCTGGTATGGATTAGAACAACTTGACTGCTGTCAGAGCATGCAGAAATATGGTCCTGCTGACTAGCTCATCCTGGAAGAAAACTGGTCCATATTGTCCTCATTATATTTTCCTCATTGTCTTTCAGGTTAGTTCCATGTAGAGGTTGCTATAGGCAGAAAACTTGCAAGTAATGCTATGGAGCATAGTGGAGCAGAATATGTAATGCTACAGAGTAACTGGATTGCCCGTTATTATTTAGAAGTGGCTCCACTACCTACAGAGAAAAAATATCTTGCTGCAACTGATCTATTTCAAGAAATTCTACCTCCCTCCATCTGCTCCAGTTGCTCACTCCTACTCAATTTTCAGACAATTCTGTCTTCTCCATTGTGCCAAATGCATTTGCCTAAATTTGTCTCTGAGGTCATGGTTTAATTGAGAGGATACAAACTTCCATAAGCCAGGGGAAGATATTACAGATGGATTTGTAAAATACTTTGTATTGTTTACTAGCAGTGTCTAGAGCTTTTTCCAAGCTGCACACAACAATAGCCTTTGGAACATTACATTCCAACAGCATCATTAAAAAAAATCTCATGAATAAGAAAACTGTTTACGAATATAATAATTACATCATTTTTTCATTACCTTTTCTGTTTAGAAACTGACAGTAGTTACTTTCATTTACTGACATTTGCAACTACTAATAGCATTATTCATCACCTGACAAGTTTCTACACATCAAGACTACAGAAATTTTAAAACCAGGCATCAGTTCTTTCTGAGCTCAGCAAAAGAAAAAGCCTCATCATCCGGCTTCAGTGGGCCCCTTCTGCTTTCAGCACATCCTTAAGCTCTAGGAAACAACAGCAATTTCTCTGCATTTCCTAAAATATATTAAAGGCTCCTCTTTTGCAAAATTTCTTCAAAAAGAAAGAGGAAATAGACTTTCTCTAATCTTGGCTTACATTCATTTCCAGAAAAAAGTGAGACAGTCACTCCTGCAGAAGCTGTTCCAGCCCCAGCTGCCTCAGAGTCACCTGCTCCACCAGCAGAAAGCAGCCAAAACACAGAAGGTAATAGAAAATTAACATTGACATCAAGTCTGGTTTATTAGCAGAAGGGAAGAATATTCACAGGGACTCCTTAGTGTGAGATAAAGACAGTAAATGAAAGCAGATCATAAACAATAAGGAATCTCAGAGGCAGAAGAAATCTACTGACAAGTTTTTAAATTAATTAACTAGTTCACTATATAGTTTGATGCAAAGGAATCTAAATAGTAATTATGATGTTTATTTCAGTTTCATCTGCTGAAACACAACCAGAAGAACCTCTGGACCCCATTGGACTCTTTGTGGCACGACCACAGGATGGAGAAGTTACTGTTGGTGAGTGATGTTAGTCAAGTGAAGTTTGTACACTGTACCTGTTGCTTGACTATTACTTCTCCAAGTACAGGGTGACAGCAGTGATACAACACATAAATGTAACTGATAATCTTACTTTAATCTACTTCTCCTGCAAGGTGGAAACATCACATTCACTGCCAAAGTTGCAGGTGAGAGCCTGCTGAAGAAGCCATCAGTGAAATGGTTCAAAGGAAAGTGGATGGACCTGGGAAGCAAAGTGGGGCAACATCTCCAGCTACATGACAGTTATGATCGAAATACCAAGGTACAATTGGCAGAACAGGATTCTCAGTCTTCTAGGTACTAATCTTTAATCTGAGGAAAATATAAACTAAAATAGGACTGTTTTGATGTTAAGGTACCCAAAGAAACACACAGGGCTATACTTATCCACAGAAGTCTGTGTTTTGACCACAGAGACAAGAGACAATCTTTACATACAGACTCTTGCATACTTTATCTATGGTGAAATGAGAAAACATCTGGAGGACTGGGGGAGTAGTTTTGCACTTTCTACTGCAGGATTCCCTTCATCTTCCTCTCCAGAAACTTGGAGAAAACAATTAGACAGCTATTTAAGCATCGTCTATCTTGGTCTTAATAAGTCAATCATTCTGCTATTGGTGCTGGAATTCGTTGCTCTCTTGGACTGTCTAGACTGTTTTATGTAGCTGAGTAAGACCCATTTTTTACCAGAAATTTGTCCAAAGGCACCTGAGCAGGAATGAGTCTGTACCGCGACGTTGCTTCCTCCGTGGTACATGAGCCACTACCACCCTCTCCTGGATGGAACTGGACAGGCTCGCTCACATTAGCCACTCCTTTTGCTGAATTCTGGCACGTTCTGCATACGTTCTGGGAAGAGGCTAAAACTGCTTGGTGAAAGCTTTATTCCTGTTTCCAATGCACATGCAATTAGTGTATGTCCCAGCGTAGTTTGCTAATGCACCTTTGTGTCCTCAGGAATACCTGTACTGACAGCAGTCTTCAGCTGTTTCTACTGAATTGGGGCTTATAGGTAATTTTTTGTTACAGTAATGAGTTGGACACTTGCCAGATTCTTAGTTCTAAAAGGACACAAAGACATAATTCTTCTTTTGTCTATTTCTGTCCATATATTCCTTCTCTTTCACCATTTCATTTTCTAACTTAATTATTGTATCACTGGTGTCTCTTCTAGGTGTACACCTTTGAAATGGAAATAATAGAAGCAAACATGACTTTTGCAGGAGGGTACAGATGTGAGGTGTCCACCAAGGACAAGTTTGATAGCTCTAATTTCAGCCTGACAGTCAATGGTAAGGTGAATTCATTCCATCTATTTTTTTTTAATCTTTCTGCCCCTGTATTTTTTTCCTGTCCACCAACAATTCTTTCTGGTACATAGTGGTTACTAGACAAGCATGGACCTGAAATATAGACCTGAAGATCCAGAGAGGAGAATGAGATTGGCATCATTAGAAATACCACTTGGTTGTCACTCTAGTCAGAACTGTGATGCTTTTAAAGAAAGCACACTCAAAGATGCAAAACTGCCCACCTTTTCTCTGGCTTTATTATGGTTTCAGATTCATTCTTTCATGATGTTTAATTCCACTAGAATAGAAGAAAGTTCATTCTTATTTTGGCAAAAGTTCAGTACAAAAAATGGATATTTAAAAAAAAAATAGATTTAGATGTGTGACACTATTGTCAATTCATTTTTCCTTACTATATAAAGGAAGATATATAAATTGTCTCTTAAAATTGCTTTAAGAGCAGATGACTCATTTTACTTAACGCATGGTGCCACCCTCACAAGTGCTATACTAAAAAGTTTATAAATTGAAAAGGAAGTACAGTTCAACATCAATTTGCCTTGAGTGTGGAAAAGTTTAAGTAAAAGAGTATAAGCATAAGAGACCTGAAAGAGCTGGATGTTTGGACCATTTCTAGTTTCAGCAATTCTGTTGAAGGATCTGCAACATTAACTGGTGTCCAGCTACCAGTGAACCTAATGTAAAGATAAAAGTTCATTATGTTACTTGATCAGCAGTGTTAATTTTTATAGTTTCACTAGATAGGAATTCATAAGACTTAGAAGCAGCAACTGAGAACAGTTTTTCTCCTAGCAGCAGCAGCAGCACACCAATTTATATCAATAATGTAATAAAATTCTCTCTATAAAACATCCTTAATTAAGTTTCTGTACCTCTCTACATAGTTCCAGGAATTTACCTGTGCTGTCAGAGGATAGATTATAATTTATTATTAATAATAGTATTCAGTTTATGTCCAGTCATATTCTCATTAGGGTTTAAATCCTCTGTGAAGACCCCATTGAAATTAAAATTTTGTAGCAGGAGAATTGACAAGAGATAAGATAGTTCATCAGGCTCCAGGTTATTATGAAACATGAGACAGAAAAAAGTTATCAAAAAAAACACTGGATGTTGAAAGCTAGTTAGTGAAGGCTACATGTTTAAAGGTGATGTGTTAATCTTTCAGTATGCAATTAATCACAATTAACAATATAAGAATTTATTTCTAAAAATGCCGGCAAAGCAAAACTTTAGAAATAGCAGTGTACTTTTGCATTTTGTTGACTTGCTTTCCCATTTTCCTTTGTTACTTTTTGTCACATCAGAAGCACCTGTAAGTGGAGACTTGGACATTCGAGCTGCCTTCCGCCGCACGTGAGTATGCACAGCAGAAACCTGCCTAGATCAGGTTGCACATCCTTGTGGAATTCATTACTTTCCCAGATTAAACTAGCTAAAAGCAAAGCTGTTGTACAAACAAACACAAAGATACAGATGTCTACTAAGAAAATATTTCTACTATTAAAATACTATAAAACTCCTGGAAATCACCTAAGAGAGTTTGTACTAGTGTAGTAATCATGTTTGCCTTCAATTAGGCAATCCATAATGTGTACAATTGTAACAAGAACTGCAGCACCTTTTCTCCAGGCCTGTAAAGAGCACTCCAGATATAGACCAATAGAGATGGAAAAGATACTGTGGGGTGTTGGTCCTGACTTTGTCTGGCTTGAGGAATTACATGTACTTTAGTACAAACATTTGCTAAACAAGGAGGGTGGAGTTCAGTGTGAGCCCTGTAAGGACTGTATAACTGGTAACATTCCTGCAAGCATTTTGATTGTATCTGTTTTCATGTCATATATCTATTTTAGTTGAATGAAGACAATGATATTGTGAGTGGTGAAAACTCAGGTAGTCTTAGATATTAAAGACTGGTGTTCAAAAGGCCAGACTCCCCCCATCTTTAATACTTTCTGAACTGATATCTCTCTTAATAGAATAATGTTCCCTTCTATTAGTAAGATTCACAAAATTGGTTGGATTTTTTTTTAGTGTTAGACATTAATATGTGCTCTCTTTTTCCTTCATGTAATAATAAATAAGTTTCTATTTTAGTTTTTATATGTATTTTTGAAAAGTAGACCAAGAATATTCTGACATCTATTTTTCTATAGGACACAAATCATCTGTGGCAGCTCTTTGAGTACCTCTCTAAGTCCCATTTTTATATGAGAATTTTTCTAACATTTATCCCAAAGAATTAAACAAGGCTAGCAGAATTTATCTACAGTTAAGTCCATCTGTAGATAGCTCACCAGCCTCACTGTAAAATAGTGGCCGCTCAGTGCATAGCTGCATTGTGTTATTTCACTGCAGTGAAAGGAGAGTTTCTCTTCTTGTCAGCACAATTAAAATAATTCTAAATCAGTTCAAAGGGAGTGCAGTGTGAGCAGCTTCAGGCTATTCAGATTGGCAGCTTCTCTTGTAAGAATGAAGCCAGATTTTGAATGGAACTGTTTAAATCTGAAGCTGTGTCTTTGATACCCTCACTCAGGAGCCTAGCAGGAGGGGGGAGACGGATGACTTCAGCCTTTCTCAGGTAGTCACTGACTGTGTCAGCAGACAAACTTAAGTCTTACAATGAACTGTCTCTCTCTGCTTAGGAAAAGAAAAAAACAACCCCACAGAATTAAGATGAAGTTTAAATTTCAAAGAGATCACTGTTTATAATGTGTAGTATTTATACATACAAATAAAAAGTAAGACAAAAAAAATTAAAAAAATAAGAATATAAAAGGATAGATAAAAACAGATAAAGAAAAGAGTAGCTTGGTAGATCAGTGAGAGGCAGATTCATCTAGAGAACATGCATGTGTTTGGCAAGTGGCATCTTCTCACCCTTGTCAGAAGAAAAATGTAACTTTAAATTATATGCATGTCTGCCCTCTGTATTACGTGCTTTCCTATCTACTGAGCACATTTTGGCTAAAATTGCTGTTGCTCACAGAAATGTACCAACACACAACTTAAAAAATGTTGTTTCTTGGCACACTCATCATATTATCATTAAATTTTTCACTTTATGCCTTTTGCTCCTAATGTTTTCTACTATAGCAAAAACAGGAATTCTGAGATTAGACTTAACTATATGCATGTTAAAGCAATTACTAGTCTTATTCTTCAAAAAGCTAAACCTTGATTGCTGGTCTTTCCTGAAACTTTAACTACCACTTGTGAAACAATAAGGTGAATAGTTATTCTCCCAGCTGTAGATCTGATTTACTGAATATACGATCACAGAAAATCCTTTCCAAATTTCTGATTACCATAGTTATTTTTATGTACATTTTATGCCTGCAAATATGCAAATTCTTGTGAAAGTAAGGCCAAAACTACACTTCTCTGTTTGAGCCTTATGCCCAGTCAATTATCCTTTCCAGTACTGTACTATTCTGAAAGGAACCAAATATGTGAAAACAGCATTTTCTTAAAGAAAAGATCTCTTCTCACAGCATATTTCAAATTACACAGACTCTAAATTGTTGTTTAACCTTATATTGTCCAGCAGCACAAGAAGCTTGGCACTTGTTTCTGTTTTATTTTTTAACAGTACTTTTAAAATGCTCATCATTTTTTTGTTTAGGCTGTTTTCTTCTAAAAATTCTTGTTCCTGCAATACTGAGTTTTCCCAACACTTTGATTTACATTCTATAGACAGACTGTTTTTTTCTGAGGCAATTAGGACTGTGTGTGGACAGAAGCAACATTATGGTCTACAACTACCACCAGTACAGCTGGAAAGAAAAAATTCTGCTTATGAAACAAGAATTAAATGCAAGGTGTTGCTTCTGGAAGAATATGAATGCTGTGAGATGTAATCACCAGATTCTTGCACTCAAGACAGCAGAGATGCTAAAGAGCAGCTGGCCATTGATGATAGTAGACTGGTTGAGATAAAGAAAATACATTTGGGCTTTCTAAATCCCATCTGAATACAAAGATGACCTTTTTTTTAGGAATTAAATCTGAAGAAGAGATTGTAGTGACTTTATGCTATTTCCAGAGTAGGTCAATATTACAAATTATCAGAAGCACAGCTAAAACCTACTGGATTCAGAACACCAAAAATAACATTGTGCATTCCATCTGAGTTTACCATATGCAACAGGTGGAACTACACTCAAAAAGCTCCTGCCTGGTGCTTCTTGTTTTCTCAGACCATCTCATCACATTGCTTGTCATGATGCTTGTTGAACAAAGGCCTATTGAACCTCATTTCAGGCTGAAAGCCAGATCACAGGACTCCTCCTTCAACTCTCCCAAACACCAATGATGCGACACCTTTCTTTCCAGTGTAATGAATCCTGGTAACACAATGAACCTCAAGAAACAATTACAGCTGGGATAATACTAAGGGTAAAACCAGTGATTTTAGATTGTGAGGCATTCCACAAATCTTGATTAATAGTGCCCCAACTGTAAGCAATATCCACATTCCTAAAAGACAGAGAAAAGGAGGAAGCTTCTGCAACACCTATTACAGATGATAATGAATACATTCCAAATCAATATGATGACCAAATTAATAACCTGTATAACTTCATGCTCAGTCAGCACAGAAAAAATACAACTTCATTACATTTATTTTTAAACCTAAATGCAAATTAATATGAACACAGAGCCTACTTAAGTCACCTTCCATGTCAATGCACATTCTAATTCATTATAAACCCATCTACTACTTCTCTACAAAAATATGTCATCTGTATAATGTTATAGTCTCACAAGCTATTCCCTTTTCCTTCTGAAACTAATTATGGCTTTTCTATTACTGTACAGTACCGAGGGACACGATGATGGGGCAGAGTTTAATTTCAGCTCTCTACTGAAAAAAAGGTGAGTAAAAAAAATCCATAAACCTAGAGAAATAAAGCTTCTGTTGAATGACTCTGAAACAACAGAACTGGAATAAGTGGAAGTTTCACAAACTCAGAATTCTTGTCATTTTCCTAAAGCAGCTCTAAATGGAAAAAGCATTATAGGCAATTATGGTTACTTCCTGAAATACACAGCATTTGCTGCATTTCTGCTAGGTTTATATAGGAGAAAAAAAGAAAAGAAATTATCTTTCCCAAGATAGAAAAGGCTTGGACTCAGGTTTCCAGCAACCCTTTTCATGGGAGCAAGGGCGGGCATTAAAATACCTATTTATAATGCTGCCTTATTAAGAACCAAGATTTTTTATTAGATACCTAAATGTAGCTATTACACAGTTCAACTATGATATAGATATCCTATTTTGCATAAATATAACAAATATGTTTTACTCTTCCAACTGTAATTGGCATTTCTTTCTGTTACTTTTACTTTCACTTTTCTTTTTCTTGTAATTTCTTCTCTAATTCTCATCTTTCTTTGTTGTATCTGTTTTCATAACCTGTTTACTTATGCTCTTCTCTTTTTACCAAACTCTTAATCTGAATGTTTTGGATTCCACTGTTGCCAACAGAGAGTAAGCTTTCTATTTAATTGTATTATAAATGCATGGGTCAGACTGAATATAAGAACCCTTTGGTTTGGAATAATGCATGCATCTTTGTCGTCTTTACGTGTAGAACATGGAAAAAATAGTGCAAAAGACAATTGTTGACTGCTCATTTCTGAGACAGAAATTCTTTTAAACTATTCTAAGGTTAAAATTAAGACAATTTCATACGATCAATGTATGTCTCTGAATGTCCTTTGGCTTTTACCATTACTTTTGTTCATACAACCAGTTCTAAAATTTCCTTGAATTTCCAGATTTTCTCAATAACCTGCTGTTTTGTATTCCTGTTGTCAAAGTATTTAGAATCAGAAAAATCATTTGCATAATATTGTTGCCTATCGAATAGGTGATTAAGTTTTGCTTGCTTCTTTCTGTTCACTGACCCTGGTCACTCAGTTTGTCTTTCCAGCACCTGAAACTACTATAAAAACTTGTCACTTAGATTCATGTTTTGCAAGTCTAAACTTTCTTAGTTTAAGTTTCCACAATCAACTACTTGGATGAGTGTTGTGAATCTGTGTTCACTCTCTGCTCAGGCAGTGGTATCACTATTTATAAAAACTGCTTTATCCTCACAAAGATCACAGGATCATGCTGACATGTGAAGTAACTCCCTGCAGAAAGCAATAAAGCCACAACAGCCTCAGGCTAATTCACTCAAACTTCAGTGGGGCAAACAAGGCCACATGTGCACAAACCCCTGTGTTACACTCCATGCAGGGCATCTGTCCATGGGTGAATCCTGGCTTGGCAGTAGCACCAAAAGCAGAACACTTCAGGGGGACAGACAGATCAGACAGAAAAGACACCTATCAAACTTTCTATAACTGACATTGATATCTAAGTTTCTTGTTCCAGCATGAACCCAAATTGTTATAAGCAGTCTCTAGTTTCCATAGAAGATGTAAGGCATAAAACAATAGCTTATCTTCTTTATCAAATTTTAAATAAATGAAAACAAGCATGAAAATATTTGCATAATTGCATACAGGATCTTCAGCTGGAATGAGGTGCTGAGTACTAAGAGCCCCTCTCCTTGTGCCTTTCTCTTTTGCTCTCATAATTAGATGTGAGCAGTAATCAAACTCAAAACAGCAGTAACAGTCTTAAGTATTTACAGAAATGTTAAATTTATTGATTTAACTATCATTTGTTAGGCTACAAATATAATTTATTAAAAGAAGCTTATCAATTTCACTGCTTTTTAACAGTGTTTCTGCCATTTCTTGAATTACAAATCTCTGCCTAGTGAATTTAAGAACATAAATTCACTGCTCCTAGTTGTTTTTCACAGCCACTTCAGAAGTAATTCGTGGACTCTTTAGGCTTTGCACACCTCAGGTTGAAGACCACTTATATTAATGAGAACAGATAGGCATAAAATCTCATAATGTAATGAAATAATTCTTCATTGAAATAGAACAGGAAAAGGGATCTCATGCTGGGGAACTCTCAAGAGCTCTGCAGATTCAAACAGAATAGATAATTATTCTTTTACAATTTCTGCTTTCTTACACCATTTTACAAGTGTCCCTCAATCCACAGGTAATGATCATTCTATAATAAATAACTTCACTATAATAAAGAGCTTCATTTAACACTGTATCTCCTATCACTGTAATTTAATTAACTGGTGTTGACATACAGATGTCATGGGCCAAGGAGAGGTCATTGGGAAGAGGAAGGGAACAGCTGTCACAGGACTATTAAATGGGATAGTGAGCAGAGACCTTGAAGGAGGTGACAGCTGACAGAGTCCAATCAGTTGACAGTAACTGGATAGGAAGGAACCATTTCTGGGATGTACAAAACTATTTTTAACCCCTCCACATATGTTTAAAACATATCAGCTGCATATTCCATTTACAGCAGGTTCACTGAGCTGCATCTTGATGCCCCCAAGAGCATAGCTAACCTATGAGGTGATCTCTGTGAATAAGGATCCCCAGCACCAGGGAGAAGAACGGAGGAGTGGGAGAAACCTCATGAGTCCAAGTGCTCTATTACTTTTCATACACTGCTTAGTTTCTTTTGGTAGTGGAGAAGTACAGCTTCTCTGGACAAACTCTGTGTCTTTCTGGGATCAAAGAGAATATTTCAACAAATGCAAAATAGTGAAAAGGAGTGCTGGGATGGGAAAACTTTGCTCAAAGGCAAACATTTTCTTCTTTCCATTTTCAGAACTCTGTTAAACAGAAATCACAACCTCTAGCTTTTAGTCCCATTTTGCATGAAACTCAAAAGTCTTTTATTTTAATTTAAAAAAAATTAGTATTTACTAGTAAGAGACTATATTCTTTCCTATGTTCAAACTTCTTATATTACATACACCAGAACAGTATTTCAAGATAAAACAATAGGATGACACTGAGTAATGTAAAAGCTAAAGCAAAAACTAGTGAGGTCTTCTTGATAGTGAAAGATATTAGATTCCTTAGGAACTCCTTTGAAATTGGAAGATTTTTCTCATTATGTACTCAGAAATAACTCACACAAAACATTTCTGAAATCTCCATGAATAGTCCTACCTGTAAATTTTCACATATAAAGTCTGTATATACAGACAAGCCTGTAAGTAGGCAGATAAACTACCAATATTTATGTAATGTCTTAAGGAAGATGAAAATATTTTAATTTCTTAAGTCTTTCTTATTTCCTATGATTTTATACTTTTTAGATACAGTTTCTCCACAGAAGTTTGACTGTAATAGTAGAAATAATAAATACTTATTAGAAATATTTTATACCTTTACTTTTATATAGTACTTAGTATTTAGTACTTATATATCTATTTTAATATTCATGTATTTAGAAATATTTGAAAGCCACTCCTTGACATGATCAGGGCAACGAGCCCAATAACTGCTTATGTAAAAAAAAAAATCTTCACCTATGTGGCAAATCAGTTCAGTTTTCCTATCTCCTGCTAAGCAAAACTAAAAGCTATTTGTAGCAGCCTTAAACTAAATGATAGGTGTATAGAAGAGGAACCTTGGTAAAATTTTGTGGTGATATTGATGCAGTGTTATGGCAAAGCAAATACCCAGTATGCTGCTGTTATCGTAGGCACTCCAAACTTCAGCTCCTCCTATCAATTCAGTGAGTGCTGGTGAGGGCTTCGGGCTTAGTGAGTGCTAAAGCACTTTGACAATATGAGATATTGCTTACCAGATTTCAGCTCAGTCTCAGTGAGCTGAAATCCTCTTCTCTTGCTTGCTTTCTTTATTAAAGACAGTGGTCCTATTGCAAGCAGGCACTTTTTTGGCAATAAAAGGAGTACCAGAAATGTTTGGTTATATCTGCTGTCTGGATTGACTACAGTAGTACTATTAAGTAGCAGTATTTATCACAAATAAATTAGACTGTTATTTTCCTGCAAAAAAAGGAAATAAACCCAATAACATTCCACTTTTCTCTGCATCACCTGTTGCATAACTTGTCTTCTTGTTGGGGTTTACCACTGAACATGATTTCATTATTAGGGTGTGTTCTACTGCATCAGAATCTGCTTGGTGCTGGTGGCAATCAGAAACAACAGCCACAGAAAGTTCTTTCTCCTAAGAATTTTTCACTAAAATGTTACTTCTTCCATCATTTCTCTATTTACCAAAATGCAAACTATGACAGGCAAAAATGCCATGATGGCAGGGGGAAGTAGAGTTATTTGTTTCCCTGGAAAGTGATCAGCAATAAGTAGGAATAAGCAGAAGTGCTTGCACTCAGCATATAAATCCCACAGCGGAACTGTATAAGCAAAGTGTGGGAGTGAGTTTGATTTCAGTATGGATCAGCATTTCCCTCAAGCCCATTTCAGAGCATTTGCATGAATTCCTTCATCTCCCTACTACTGAAGCACAGGCATGTTCTGCTAAGGGTGAAGATGAGATTCATGGCTCTTTTGTACTAACACATGCTGCCCTTTTTCTTGCCCGTTGGGATGCTGCGTGTTTTCCCATACGGTTTCTGCGTCCTTCTGGAGTACAGCAGCTTCCTGCGCCCTTCCAACCGGTAAGGTCATACCAATTTCCTTTTCTATTTATGATCTTTCAAACAAAGATATGATGGCAGATAAAAAGGAACACTTCTCCCAAAGCCAGACAGCAAAATTTTCCCTTAGTTTTACTAAACCAAACATTAATTCTTTCATTGTCACTAATTCTTTAGCTAAAATATAAATAAGCAGTTCATTGTAAATACTGTCTTGTTTGCCACTACTCACCAGTCTCTTTATGCTTTATAGATTACTACAGACAACAATTTCCTTCACAACAGATAATAAATGTCTTAATAACCTGTGATTCTTTTCAGTGAAGATAAAAATTGTCCTGAGTAGAAGAGGATATGTCTTCTACCTACATAAACCAAGCACCTTTTTTCTAAGATGTTGCCAGCATATCAATTTAGTTCCTTGCTTTGCTGTTTTCCATGTTTTGTTATTGACCATCACAAGAAAATAAGTTTCCTTATGTTTCCATTACCCATCATTAAAGGAAGTTAAAATGTATTAGTTTTGGTTGTTATAAATAAACCCTTCAGGACAGAATTCAATTTTAATCACTATATAAAAATAAAATCAAAACAAGTCACCAGGTTTTTTTTCATTATTTTATCTAATACTATAGTAAAAAGCTAGACTGTTAATTATTTTTTTAAGAAATGGCTTCATCAAGACAATATGTAGCTGCCAACCCTATAGCTTTCTTTAAATACTCGTAATAGCAGCACTCAGAGACTCTAATCCCTTTCTGCAGAGGTGAAGGAAAATCTGAATCACAATCTGATGTTGATGTCTGGGATATCCTGAGGAAAGCTCCTCCTACAGAATACGAGAAAATTGCTTTCCAGTATGGTATCACAGATTTGCGTGGGATGCTGAAACGCCTCAAACGCATAAAGAAGGAAGAGAAAAAAAGCACAGGTTGGTGAGATGCTTTTCTTCCAAATATAGTGTTCATGTCTTCTTTACAGCAGGAGATACAAGATCATGAGAAATAGTAATTTCCTGTTCCAGCTATTACCCAGCTTTACATATGAAATACTGATTACCAAAGATTGCAGCTATGCCAATATTCTGAGATACCTTGCTCTGAACTCTGGACATACTGAACATGCTCACTTCACCAGCTCCACAAGCTTGGCCCCTTATAGTTCCCTGAACATAAAACAACATCCCCTACTTGCCCCCCACCCAAGTTGTCAGGCAACAATGACATATTTAAACAATTTATTTTTCATTGGTATGATACCCTTGGAATTCTCAAACCTTTTCCAATCCGGCAAAGTATTAATTGCCTAATTGTAACTGACTTCTTAAAAAGTCTGAAACAGAGGAGGCAACAGCCTTCATTCATCAGTACTGAGAAGACCAAGTGTAATTTTCCTGCATGTGCAGATGTAACTCTGTTTAGGATGTGTTGGAATACATATTCACATCTTATTTAGAGTATTCTACTTTGCTTATTTTGGTTTGCAACACATGCTTGTCATCCTACATTAAGGAAAAATGGTACAGAATGAAGAACAGACAGGGTAAAAATTCAAACAGGGATGCAGAAATTGGGGAACATTAAAGATGATGGTAAACAACATGAAAGGGAATAAAGATTTGTTTCATGACCCAGCATGAAAAAAAATATATATATAAATGATAAGGTTTTTTTTAATCATTCTTTATCATAGCATTCCTCAAGAAACTGGATCCAGCTTACCAAGTAGACAAGGGGCAAAAGATTAAATTAATGGTTGAAGTTGCCAATCCAGATGCTGATGTGAAATGGCTGAAGAATGGACAGGAGATCCAAGTGAGCGGCAGGTAAACTAGAAATATGAGAATTTCAAAAAGGAAGGAGCTACAGCTTTGACAAAGTGAAAAATCTAGCTTTTCTGAGAAAGAAAGGAAAAAACTGGGAGAAATAGGAGAGAAAGGATCTACATAGTACTATGGCTCAGGGTCAGTTTGCTGTTGTCATAACTTTTTCTTTTTTCTTCCCTCTGCTCTATATATCTACATGTGGGACTGGATGCCTTCATCTACCAACTTAGCAAGTAAGTCCTGAGATTATATTCTGCTCTTGATGGGTATATCCAGGGCTCAAATACGCTTTCTCCTCATCTGGGATATATCTCAGTGTAACTTGTATGTAAAACAAGTTTCCAGTGAATTTGTGCTGAAGTCATTTTTAATGGTAGTCATGCTAGATCTTAGGACAGCATCCAACACCATTCACAGGATCACATCTCACACTTGGAGGAAGATTCCCCACAATTTCCTGTGCTTATTTTTCAAACACTGCTTCTGTTCACTGTACCAGGACAGGGCTATTGGGCTTGAGTCCTTACAAATCTTGCCACTGATGTCAGAAAAAGAGGAATCTTTTTTCTTCCAGACAGGACAAGACAGGTCCAGAATGGTTTTTTCCTGATAACTACATTTAGATTTTCTTTTCAGATATATTTTTGAGGCTGTTGGGAACAAGAGAATATTGACTATAAACCACTGCTCTCTGGCTGATGATGCAGCATATGAATGTGTGGTAGGGGATGAGAAGAGCTTCACAGAATTATTTGTAAAAGGTGAGCAATGGTATCAGAAGGAAATAGACCTCCCCTAACATTTAGTATTGACATTCTCTCATCTACTCTCAAATTTATCTTACAGGAAAGGAAATTTGAAAACATATTAACATATTCTAAGATCTATTGAAGTCAGTATTTTTCTTACAGTTAAATTGAGGAAAAATTTGCCTGACATTAATCAGGAAAGCAGAACAATGATAGTTATCATTAATTCTCATTCAGAAAGTTATTTGCATCTCAACAATGGGGCTAGAAACTTATTTAAAAATTTGATTCTGCTCAAGACCAACATGTGTCCCAAGCTCTACAAGCAGATCAAATAGTACAGAAAAGTAATTCCTCCTGTTTAGAAATTTAGAATATATATGAAATCTGTTTAATCATATATTTTTATTCCAATTCATAAAAATGTAAATTGAAAACTCTGATAAGGTGATCTGGCATAGTAAATTTTAAGTTCTAAGATAGCATCACCATTTATTTGTTCAGGGACTCTTCCTATGGAGCAGAGTGGTGAAACCTACCTCTGGTCTCCACCATTTCAGAATACTGTTTTAATAAAATTTTCTTTATTTTCAGAACCTCCAATCCTGATAACTCACCCACTGGAGGACCAGATGGTGATGGTTGGAGAGAGAGTGGAGTTTGAGTGTGAAGTGTCTGAGGAAGGAGCGACTGTGAAATGGTAAGGGAATAGAAGAAAAAAACAAAGCAAAGCAAACCAAAATGAAACCATCTTCCTCCATGGAACATACCAGGAGGTGTGGAATAAAAAGGGATAATGCATTCTACATAATGAACTTAATTAAAAGATTGTCCCTCCTCCTATATGTCAAATACTGAGGAGGAACCGAGAAGTAAAATCATGACACAAAAACCCAGATTTAGTACAGATATTTTATAGTTTCTCTAGAATTTCTTGCTCGGTGTTTACACTTCAGTAATATCTAAGTATTGCCCAGACTAATCAGATCCATACTGTGGTGAGTTCGCTGTACTTTTTGAAATTTTCTCAATTGCAGTGAAGCATTTGTGTTTCTAAAATATTTTTTCTTAGGTAAAAAAGTTAGTGTCTCTTGAGACACAGAGGGAACACATCTGCTGTGGTGATCCTGCAAAGCTGGTCATTATGCTTATGCAGTGAGGATTAAGATGACAAACATTTAGATCATGGATCCTGTTTTCTTAGGCATTCCAGCTGAGCAGAATTTGGAAGGTGCATGCTGCTTGGGCAGGCATGACAAGCAGGGCTCATATGCCACATCTCATGCGTGCTATTCTCACTTCATTTCTCTACCAGATGAAATTCCCTTGTGCTTGTTAACAGCTTCAGGCACATGGTTATCAAGCATTCCCACAATGCCCATTACATTCCTGGAAAGTGCCAGCTAATGATCTGCTGTCCCAAAGGAAGGAACTGAGAATTTAAATGGAGTCCAAGAGCTAGTACAGGGTGTGCATTACACTATTAAAGCCACAAGCACAGGGACATGCATTCTGTTGTTCAGGAACTGCCTGCAGATGCCTGGTCACAAGAGATGGGGACAATCAGATCTGTCCCTCTCAGAACACAGCGCAGCTGCCACACTTTGATCCTGTGCCTTTGAACAACTCCCATACATCTTGCAGAGCTGTTATCTGTGGGATGGGCATTTGATGTGACAAGGGCAAACCAGCAGCTGCCTCAGTCTGAAATGCAGCAAGTGGTCAGAGAAACTCATCAAATCATTGCAATGGAAAACTGAGCAGTCAGACATTCACATTGTATTTTACTGGTTTTGTTATGTGACACTCTGTCAGTGCTCTTTGGCAACAAAAGGGAATATTTTCGACTGGGGAGAAAAGTGTCCAGGGAAAACTTGAAACACAGTGTGGAGAAAGTTCCAGTTTTATGGCACATTAGGGAAATGATCAACAGTTTAAGCCAAGCAACAGGCACTAACTCAGAACACCTGTTATAGTTCTTAAATCTTCAAACCCAGGATATAAAACCACAAGCACATGAACAAAGGCAATTATGTGACTTGCATGGCCACCAGACTAGGGCTTGGAGAATTCATTACGTGGGTCTCTTCAGAGCAATCAGAAAAGAATGTTCTCTTGGAAGCTTTCACATTATTACAACTCTTGCAGTACTACGGAACAGGTTTTTTCTAAACTTCAGATGGTCTTGAAAATAGGATAATACTTGAAAGAAAGGTATAATAAAATGCATAGTTTTGATCTAACTTGTCCATCTCTGAATGCTGGATGTACTATCTTATCAGCTCCAAATCAAAATATACCATGGTAATGTATATTTATAGCAATAAATCTGTGTGTCCCAATTATCACATAGTACCTACATCAGTGATATCTCAGAAGACATCAACCAATTAATCCTCAGAATCCAAACAGGAAATAGGAGTGCATTTCCAGACAAAGAGGAATGGAGTGATGAAGTTGAGAACAGATATTTGATCTTGCAGATGTTTGGGACTTGGAAAGACTAAACCACAGCTGATCTACCTATTACTGAACTAGTTCTGCTTCAAATGTGAGGCTGGGCCAATGTCCTATGGTGTTCTGTAAACCAACATTTCTATGATTCTATATAATGCTTCACTTACACTTTAACATCAACAGATTCTTCTATTTTATAGTTCCAATTGTCAAAGGAAGGCCTGTAATATTACCTTATATAGCTTTTCTGCTTTTCACAGCAGCAGTGTATTATTTTAAGACAAATGCTATCTGGAGTTCTGTTTTGATGTTTACAGTCTCTATTTGTCACTACATCCCTCTGCAAACTCTCTGCTCATCCACAGGATCAGCAATGTGCTAGTCAGTAAAACAAACACCAGTTAAAGACAGTATTCCCCTCCAAGGGATTTAAGACACTAATCACTACAAAAAGACTATTTTCATTATTTAGTCAAGATCTCAAGAGAACTCTTTCTTACCAATGGGTGAATAGAACATTCAGGTACTTTTCATAAGCCATGTATCAAAATAGACCTTGAAAAAATAAATTTAAAAGTTCAGCTCCAAAAGTCTAGCCACAGTGTGTGCTTGGCTTTGCATTTAGTGACAGCAGCATGTTGAACTTTGGGATTAAAGTCAATTCTCAGTGATTCATCAAATGTTTCTGTAATGAATTGTGGCACTTGTTCCAGAACTAATTTGCATGAATCACAACACCAGCCTTAGGAGATCATCTTACACGTTGTCTCAGACTCTTGTCTGAAGAGGAATGAAGAGGAAAGAAAAGGAAACATTATCCTGACAATAATACTAAGTGCTGTGTTTCAAGTGGTTGTTGAAGGCATCCTCTGCTTCCTCCCTTACTAGCGCTGTTCTGTGACCTGGGAGGCCAGTCCCTCACTAAAGCAGCTCTGAGTTCCAGAGAGCTCTGCTGTAACAAACAGCCATGAGGCACCTGTAGGTGCATCAGGAACATCTAAATCACAAGTTGTAATTTCCTTGTCTCTGCTTAAAGTTTCGATCTTGTGATTTACTTTAGCAGACTCTGACAGAGGTAAAAGGTCTTCTTCCATACATCTACTTAGAAATTAGTACTATAGAATTTTAATGAGTCCCAAGTAGCATTTCCATTTGCTATTCTGTAAGCTCATTTGTTAAACTGAATAGTCACTCAGTCACTGGTCACAGATAAGTCACAAATAAGGGAAACGACAAAAAATTAGAAATAATATTTTTACTCTATTAAAATCAGACATATTTTCTATTTGTTTTTCCATGTGACTACCAAAGGAAAAACCTTTTTCATCTACAAACTGCAGCAGTACTCAAGTAACAAAATAAAAATATAATCAAGTAAAAACAAAAAATGTAATGCTACAAAATTAGTAAATTGAAGTAATTGCATGTATTTGCTGTTTATGTTATTTATGATTAGGAACAGGAAACCCTTGAAACACCCTATGCATTTTTGTGTGACCTTGATTAAACAGCGTGAGTCCTCCCTGTACATTTCCCTTCATGATGACTGGAAATTACAATAATTAAATTTCCTCCTGGGCTAGATGGTGAAGCTTAATTTAGTAAAGTCTTAAGTATACTGTGGCATACTTGAATGGAAAGAGCCACAAAATCCAAAATACACATTCATTTGAAATACATCCTAAAATTTTCTCCTTTTGCTGATGCCCACAAATCATGGATTTATAACAATTAAAACACATCAGGAAAATTAAGACTTTTAACTAATATCCCATCAAGTCCCATTTACTTTATGGCTGTTTTAAAGACAGTAAATTCCCTGTTGGTGAAGTGTGTTTTCAACACTTTATCTCCTATAGCATTTAACATACTTTCATATTTATCTATAGAATATAAATGAAGTAACGAAAAAATGAAATAATTACTTGTGGTGAATTCTCCTGAATAAGAAGTCAAATACTTCAGGAAAATTAACAGTCAAGACAGAGGCAATGTCAGTGCAATTCTGGTTGCACTGACATTTGTGCAACAATCCCTTTTTTGCCAACTTGAAATGCTACAAAGATTGGGTTCACCTGGTATCTTCCAATCCCTAGTAACATTGAGCTGTGCCTCACTCTCCTCTTTCAGCCATAACAAAAATGACTCAACACTGTTTGGAATTTCAGGGAAAAGGATGGAATTGAACTGACACGAGAAGAAACATTTAAATACCGATTCAAGAAAGATGGAAAAAAACAATATCTCATTATTAATGAGTCAACCAAGGAGGACAGTGGACACTACACTGTGAAGACCAATGGTGGGGTATCAGTTGCTGAACTGATTGTGCAAGGTAGGCACAATATCCCAGAACCAGAGAAGCTGAAAAATGAGAGCAGGCTGAAGGTAACCTTCTCCAGATAGTGCAGAGTGGTAGCTAATTCCCCTGACAGGGAAAAGGGAGATGCAATAAGGGACATAGGGTTTGATAATAAAGGCTTCAAGGAGAACTCAGACCTGTGGGCCGGATATAACAGATACTCTGATAACAACAGGTGCTTAGCTATCAGTCCTGTTAAAGCCCTGCAGGCTGTCTATTTCCCTTCATATTTCCTCCTACCACAGACAGCTTCCTCAGCCTATGCTACTCAGTAAATCCACATCATCTACTTACAGAGCTATTCTGATTTTTGATGCGTGTATCGATTATTCTCACAATATCAGAGAAAAAGCTGGAAGTTTATCAGAGCATTGCAGACCTGACAGTGAAGGCACGTGACCAGGCAGTCTTCAAGTGTGAAGTTTCTGATGAAAACGTGAAAGGAATCTGGCTGAAAAACGGAAAGGAGGTGATCCCAGACGAAAGGATAAAGATCTCCCATATTGGCAGGTCAGTCTTGTCTCAGAAAGCAGGTACAAGCTTGGGAATTGCAGTGCAATCCATAAGAATTGTTATCTCAGGGGTTAAGAATATAAAGGGAGACTTTTTCCTGGCTCCAGCTAACAGGTAAAAGGTTTAAAAGCTTTTCATATGCAACCAACATTTAGCGACAGACTAGTTTTTTATGTGTGCAGTCTGAGTTGGTCCATTTTATGTATATTACTTCAGTGGTATATCAGCAAAAATAAATCTTAGTTTTCATTAAGATTACATGGTGTTTTGGTATTCAAAACACATAGTTGATAACTTTAAAACTAACAGTAGTGTTAAGATAGTACATATGAGTAAACCCTACAGAAAAATAACCATTTATATTAACATATACAGTTGCGTAATTCAGTGCTCAAGTTTCCTAGCACACTAGTTACTAATGGAAATGGAGACCAAGAAGCTTCGTCATTAAATACCAAGTGAAGTCTTTCCTGGTATTCTTTTCTGTATTCTGTTTTGAACTTAAAATAATACAGGGATGGAGAATCACTTTTTAATTTGCTGAGTCAGAGTTACTGTCTCACAATCAGATCAAATGAAACCAGTCAGCAGTGTTACAACTGCCCTTGTGATGGCAAAGGACTGGACTAGAGCAAGGGAACTGATTCCTCTCTTCAAACAATCCACCTTGACAAAAAATTCCATTCATAGACAATGTACTGATATGGATTGGCTTTAATATTGAGAGCAGAGCAATCTACAGCCCTGGTGGTTGTTGACATGTGTCATGGCAAGGGAAGAATAATAATTTCTGTTAGTATCCTATAGCCTGCACCTTGTCTCTTGACATAGCCCTGCTTCTTCTGGGGACGCAAGGTAAGGGAGTGCAATATATTTGTTCATATTTCCAGAATCCATAAGCTAATTATTGAGGATGTAACACCAGAGGACGAGGCTGATTATTCCTTCATTCCACAAGGATTTGCTTATAACCTTTCTGCCAAGCTTCAGTTCTTGGGTGAGTTATTTTAGAATGTGTAATGGGAATCCCACAGGGATAAAATGGTGACATTAATCATGGTTATACCAGGGAAGAGAATGCTGATCTCTTTACTGATACCTCAGTGTAGGCACATTGCTTTTCCCTGTTATTTTGCATTACCATTACCACATGGGTTTACAGAGCCTGTTTGTTAATTTATTGTATAAATCTGCTGATTAATGTGCCTTATGAAGTTTCAGTCAGCTTTTAAATTACTTTGTTTGTGCAGATACTATGTAAAATCTGTTTTCTGATCTATTTCTCCTTCCATGTCTCCTCTTTCCTTTCCCTCTCAGAGGTCAAGATAGATTTTGTACCAAGAGAAGGTAAGAACAGCAATCACTATTTATATGCAAGTAAAAAATGTTTTCAACAGCAAAGTGAGCAGTATATTTTTTTCATTTTTATTTTAATGCATGAATATTCTTTTTTTATTATTATGTTTCATTCAGATTACTCAAACTATATTTGAAACTTTTGTTCTCCATTTTTACTATAGAACCCCCTAAGATCCACCTTGACTGTCTGGGCCAATCCCCTGACACGATTGTCGTGGTGGCTGGGAACAAACTGAGATTGGATGTTCCTGTGTCAGGAGATCCAACACCCACTGTCATCTGGCAGAAAGTAAACAAGGTAATGTGCAACCTGACAGAGTGTCTGAAGCAAGTCACAACTGCAAATTTATTTTTCCTTCTCAAATATTACTTGGTTTACAGTTATTTACAAGTATTTCCATCTTCCTTTCAATTTTATGTTTTTAAACCTCAAGAAAAAAAATTAAATACCTGGACTGCAGCTGTCTGAGACATAGCTGGCTTTGTAATTCATCCTGAACTGTTCCTTTTTATGAACTGTTCTCTGTTTTTCTAGTTCAACAGGCTGACTATATATGAGTAGATATATGTAGATGCAGATAGAAGGATGCCATACACATTTATTCTCTTCCTACCTCAGAGAAAAAAAATAAACTATGAGTCATCACCTTCACCTGATAGAATGAACATTTTCTGAAGGTGGCAACTTCTTTTTTTAGTCTTTATCAAGGATTCTACCATTTGTGACGAAATGTCATCTTAGCAGACTAGTGGCATAAAACTGAATTTCATATAATAAAAATAGAGAAACTTTGCTATTTACCTTATCAAAGCAATTACAAAACATCAGAGAAAGTACTTAGAGGCTAGATTTAAAATGTTAAGTGAGCTTCTTTTCTGGGTATCTCAAAATATCTCCACCCCTCACCATCTGTGGGCTCTTGAACTATAACTAGCACAAAACAGAAATATTTTGCATAACATTCTCCAGCATCATTACACATTCATATGTGTAGATACAGAAAAAATAATATTGCCAATTATGTTAATTCCCCCAATCTCCTACTTCTTCATTATTATGCCACATTCTTATTCAGGTTAGCATAAAATGTCATGGTTTGACACTGGCACAATGCCAGTGCCCCCATGAAAATGCAATCTCTCAATTGAATGCTGTGAAATTAAATCGAGAACAGAGCAAAGCAGGCCCAAGCTTAATAACAGAAAGAAAACTTCATTAAGCTACTACTATAAAAGGAATAAAAAGGGGGGAAAAAACACACACAAAGATCACAATGAAAACCTTGCACAACATTCCTCTTCCCACCACCCAACTCCAACAAACCACAGTGAGACACAATCTGGACCCAAATCAGGTTTCCACCCTCCAGACAATCAATACTCAGCCCTTGGAGGGCGACAGGAGTCTCTCCTGTGCCACAGACCCCCCAAGAAACACAGCTCCACATCCTGTGTTTCCATGTCACACATGGCACCACCCGGAGAAAAGTTTGCCATGGTGACCCTTCTCCTTTCCATGCACAGTGCTCTCACCACCAATGCATGGATGGACAGACTGCTTTTAGGATTTTTCCTTTCAAGTATGCCCTGCCAAGAGGGGAGAAAACAACAGTTCAGTTTTTTCATTTTTTGGGACCACAGTCGCCCCACCACTTCCCCCTGGGACCAGGGGTCCAAGAACAGAGATCTTCTTTTCTCCTTCTTTGAGGACGGGGGCACCACCACAAACACCCTAACTTTCCTCTGTTCACTCCGCTTCTGTCTTTTCCCAGCTGAAGCAGGTCTCTTGGCTCACTGGCATCCTCCTAAAATACAGGCTCTCTTGGAGGAGAAAAATCAATTCAGTCAATGGCCAACAAGGAAAAGTCCAGCCAAAAAAAACACTCCTCACCTCCTCCCACCTAGAATTCCTCCTTCTAACATCCCAGGGTCCAAGCTGTTTCTCTTCCTCTCCTTCAAACCAAAGAGGAGAAAAATTTCACAAAGCTTTCATTTCTCAAGGAAGGGTTAAAAATCCTGACTCCCAGGATGGCTCGATGCCCAGGCTCCAACTCCCACAGGCAGCTGGGCATTTTGTGGTCCCCCCTTGCTCTTCTCCTTCCCCGCGGTGAACTGCTGACAAAACTGCTGCTGCTGTCTCTTGAGAGAGAGAGAGAGAGAGAGAGAGAGAGACTCTGGGGGGGGAGGGGAACGGAGACATCCCAGATTTCTCCACCCTTCCATCTGCAGGGGGTTCCAGTCCCTCCACCCTTGGGCCCACCTCAGTCAGGCCAGGGGCCTTCCCCTCCCCACCCAGCCACGGCCGGGCAGGGGAGAGGCTGCACTGCGGCTGAGCGGAACCAAAGAGAGCGAGTTCTCCTGGGAATTCTGCTTTCAACCCCTCTGTGTTCTCAGAGGCGTGTCCACCTTCAATTGGTCAACATCCAAATTGACCTCTTCCTTCCGAGAAAATTCTTTTCCGTGTCAAACCACAACAGCATATCTAATAGCACGCAGAAATTTCATCCTTCAATGCAGAATTACTATGGAAATAATTTTTTTAAAAGGCAAGAAATTGACTCTTCTATACTGAAATTTCTCTGATAAAATGATGATTGGGTATCAGATGACCTCTATACAGCGTTACTTCTGAGGTGTGAGGTCTCAACACATGAGGAAAAGCAACCAGTCATGATTGAAGGCTGTGTAGAATATACTTACTAATGAAATCTCAAAGAGTAGCACGGCCTCAAAAGATCTCGTTCAATGAGTATTACAGACCCAACTATTTCTGAGTGTTAAAATATTTACATCAGCTTACTATCCCATTGTTACAGAGAGAAGTAATCCTTATTTTTGTACTTACACATACAGAGTAACTAGTATCAGAGGACACAGGTTACAGCAATACTGCAGGAATGTTATTCTTCTTCCTTTGCTAAGCTGCAAACCTGAGTTTTCTGACTTATCCTTCCCTTAATTCATGACATTCTGATACTTTTTTCCATTTTTGCTTTTTACTTCCTTTTGGTGGATTTCCTTCCAGGTCTGCTTGCTGCCTGACTTTGCTTTTCTCACACCTTCACATTCAATCCCCCTAACAAACTCTTCTCTGTCTTGCAGAAACAGCTTTTACTGTTCTGCTCAGCCTTAGCTGACTTTCTGTGGTTTCTTTGTTTATCTAGAGAAATGACCTACTTCGAAACAGTGATGATTCCATGACTCCCTCAGAAAACAGCAGTGATTTAAACACTGATAATAAGGTAAGTTCCTTCTTATTTATGCAACCACACAAGTGTTAGTGTTTTCCAGGTAAAAGGAAATAACATTTAATTCAGTAGATACTAAAAATCAAACAGCACATCAGGCCCACTATTCTGCCTCACAGTGGTAACCACCTGCTGGGCACAAGAGATCTGGTGAGCAGTTTTAGAGTAAGAAGCTGATTGACAAAGTCTTTCTAATCACCATCATATGGTGACTGGGTTACAAGGAGTTAAAGCAGTTATTTGAAAACTCTTTTAGATTTATATGTGGGGATTTTTTCCCTCAGTAACCTGTAAGTTTCAATAATAACTAGGATAATAACAGGACACATGGAAAGATGACAACGGGTAAAGAGAGTGGATGGATTATAAAGAAGTGAAACTGGATTAGCTTTGCAGCAACTTTCATTTTTCACATAAATGACTTCTCTCTTGATAGAGTAAAAAATATTTTACATTTATTTTACAGCAATAAACTATTCTCAGGATTAGGGTCTTGCTGCACTGATCACTATTTGGATATGTATTATTTCTAGTGGTTCCTGTTCTAAATCTAAAGATATATAGGCACATAAGGAAGAAAGAAGTGTGTTACATATGTACAACTACATTGTGGTCCTTTTGTTTAGATTTTAGTGAAAAGTAGAAAGTTTCTCCATATTACAATATTGAGTGACAAAAATCACACTGGTGCCATTAACAGTTACAATAATCGTGTTTTAATTTATACAGTAACCAGCTGTTAACCATGAGACTCTTCACAGTGATGCTAGCAGCTGTACCAAGTAGGAATTTCTGGAAGTACTCAGTAACTTCTTTGAAACGTAACTGGGTTTGTGTAACTAGTGGTCAATCCCAACAGCCTGCAGACTTTCAGAACCAATTTTCCCAATGTTACTTATGTGAACCAACTATGTATTCCCTCTTCTACATACAAAAAGAACTTGAAACATTTTGCAGCTTTTCAATAATTATTGTAATATTTAGTGATTTGTAGTTTTTCTCCAGCTTATACAAAGACTCATCAGGCTGTCCCTGGCACAATTTGCAATGATTTTATCTGTCACTTTCCCTGCCCACAGCTCCTGTTTGAATCTGAAGGCAGAGTCCGTGTGGAGATGCATGAAGACCATTGTGTCTTCATCATTGAAGGGGCAGAAAAAGAGGATGAGGGAGTTTACAGAGTTATACTTAAGAATCCAGTTGGAGAAGATAAGGCTGATATCACAGTCAAAGTTATTGGTAAGTGAAGGAAAGAAAGAGGCAGAGCATGAAAGAATCTTGAGTCTGGTGAAGTTCAACCTTCTCAAAAAGTCTAAAAGTCTCTCTGATACAAGTTCTGATTTTAAGTTTAGAAAAATGGAAAAGGATCATAAAGAGAGGAATATTATCAATCATAACTTTGGCAGAAGTATTTTTTCAGAGGTGAAAAGAAAAGAATTCCCAGTAGTAACCCTGTAGTAACCTGTTTCAGGTGATTCTATCATTTTATGGATGACAATCCATTTTGAAGTACATGCTTCATGTTTGTCAGAAATATGAAAACTTTTTAGTCATTTTGTCATGGGTTATGTTTTTAAGCAGAGATTACTTCATTCTATAAGTAGTAAATGGTTAATGGAATAAAGAAACGTACTGTATATGATAGAAGATGAACAGATTGACAGACTCTTCAATGAGTCACAAAAGACCAGGGAGAGATATGATTTTGAGTCAGTAAGTTTTATAAATTTTTCATAATATTTAATTTGCTGATACCCTGGCACACATAACAAAAGAACAAGTTATAAGCAAATCAGAAATTATAAAAGAAAATTACTTTCACCTACAGTATTAAAATTTAGACTTCCTTGGTAAATAGTAAGTTTTCTTTCTTCTTTTATAAATATTAAATCAGGATATTTACTATTAATATCTCCAAAGTGACATAAAATGTGAGACATGCAGTCGTATTTTATAAAATTTATTCTAGAGAAAATAGGAAACCCTGGAGCAAGTCTCATCTTACAGAACAGAATTACCTTACAATTTTGCAAAAATTTGATTATTATATTAAAAAAACTATTATTATCTGGGAAGAAAAAGGGAGATGAATAATCAGTGATATTTAAAGGAAATCAACCTAACAAAGAAGAATTGAAGAGCAGGATTCCCTTTAGATTAAGTTAATACATTATGGTTGTACCTATTGTTGCTATCTGATAAAGCTAGAATTATATCACAGAATTACATAATAAATTTGTCTGGAAAAGATTTCTGATCTCATCAAGTCTAACCCCACTATGTCAACTAGATCAGGCACTGACTGCCACATCCAGTCTTTGCATAAGCACCTCCAGGGGTGGTGACTCCCTAGGTGGCCCATTCCAAAATCTAATCACCCTTTCTGTGAAGAATTTCTTCCTAATGTCTAACCTAAACCTCTCCTGGTGAAGCTTGAGCCTGTGTCCTCTCATCCTGTCTCTGGCTGCCTGGGAGAAGAGGCCAAATCCCAGCTGGCTACACCCTCCTTTCAGGAAGATGTAGAGAGCAATAAGGTCACCCCTGAGCCTCCTTTTCTCCAGGCTAAACACCCCCAGCTCCCTCAGCTGCTCCTCATAGGACTTGTGCTCCAGACCCTTCACCAGCTCCATTGCCCTTCTCAGAATGTGCCCCAGCCCCTCAGTGTCCTTCTTGTAGTGAGGGACCCAAAACCAAACACAGCACTCCAGGTGTGGCCTCAGCAGTGCCAAGTACAAGGGGACAATCACTGTCCTGGTCCTGCTGGCCACACTGTTGCTGATGCAGGCCAGGATGCCACCAGCCTTCTTGGCCACCTGGGCACTGCTGGCTCATGTTCAGCTGCTGTTGACCAACACCTCCAGGTCCTTTTCCACTGGAATACTTTCCAGCCACTCTTCCTGCAGCCTACAGTGCTGGAAGAGGTTATTGCCAAAGTGAAGCACCCAGCACTTGATGTTGTTGAACCTTATGCCATTGGCCTTGGTCCATGTTCCAGCCTGTCCTGGCCCCTCTGCAGAGCCCTCCTGTCCTCCAGCAAATCGACACTCTGACCCAACTTGGTATCATCCATGAATGTGCTAATGATGGATTCAATACCCTCATCCAAATCATCACTAAAGATATTAAGCAGGACTAGGCCCAACACTGATTCCTGGAGGACACCACTACCTCAATACCACACAGAAAAAGAAAGTATTAAAAATATTTAATTTACTTGCCTAAAGAAATTGAAACAATAAAAACTCTTGTTCATTCTCACACTTTCTTCAGATGTTCCTGACCCTCCAGAAGCTCCCACAATCAGCAACATTGGAGAAGATTACTGTACTGTGCAGTGGCAACCCCCTAAATATGATGGTGGGCAACCGGTGCTTGGTAAGAGTCCAAACACACAAAGTCCCCTGCATTGGCATATATTTTTTGCTGCTCCTTTGAAATGGCACAGAAGAATTCTCTGTGTAGACACAAGGAAAGCTGACCCTCAGACAGGAGCTGCTCTGATGCACTGAACCCTCAAACCAGCCCAGGGTCTGGCCCTCCAATTTTGAGGAGAGAGTGCCACCTGCCTGTGCGGTTTGACTCAGAGAAGTATTTCAGCAAACAAGTTACCAAAGCACAAAAAATTGAGATGAAAAATTGCTAAAGCTAACTATCCTCATTCAAGACTGAAAGTTTAAGTCAGTTTACAGGCCTTTGTGCTTACTTAGGAATATCCAAACAGATCTGTGGCCGCCTCCGTCATCAACTCCAGACAGCTGCAATCTCAGGCACTCATGCAATGTATGTTTTATAGTGGAAAACTACTTCATAATTCTACTTCATATAAAACAAATGGACCATAAAATATTTTCAATCATTTTAGTGACCTTAAAACCTGTACTAAAAACTAGAGTGCAAAGTTATCACGTGATGAAGGAAATTAGCAGGCACAATCGAGATTATCACTGACACCATTTTAAGTTCTGCATAGAGCATAGTGAGTTTTAGATAGAAATCTCTGTGATCCTCAGAAATAAAAGAAAATAATGCAGAGTCTTGACCAATTTTAGGGGAAAAAATTCTTCTGGAGTCCATGTCTAGCAATTTGTTTAATAAAGATCTCTGGAGTTTGAGTTTCTTTGAAAAAACACATTGAAAGCTATATTGACTCCCATGGGGATGCCAGAGCTAGAAATATCTAAAATTCTTTTAATCCCCTGAATAGTACCTGGAAGCAAGTAGTTTGCATTTGCATTTGGATGTTTGGACTTCATTCTTTTCCACAAGATCTATCTCATTTAAATCAAAGAATTTACCTGCCCAGGAATAAACAAGGTACCGCTGGGCCACTGCTTTGTGGTTTCATCTATTCTGGCAGGAAGCAAGCAAGAAGTCAAAATATTATGTGCAAAGACATTTACCAGTAGTTGTGTCATTACCATAAGCAATCTCCACCTCATTGACTTTAAAAAGCCTGTGATATTGTTTTGTAGGGTTTTCAGGGCACATATTTTGAAAAGTTCTTTGCTTTGTTTTCACTGTCAAAGGAAAGATTTCATTTATGCCACAGTAAGGACCCTTTGCACTACCTGAGGAGGTTCCTTCAGATAGCACAAGGCTTCATTACTGCTACAGCTCAAATAAAACACCTGCAGCAGGGAGAGAGGAAAAGCCAAGATGCTGCACTACCCATTCAAACAGAGCTTTACAAGCAAGAAGGCAGGGGCTAAAAGGCATATTCATTCTCATCTGTCTTCATATTGTTACAGATGGCTTTGTAGGCAGTCAGATACAGTCTTTATTAGCTGTATCCAACAGATATAAAAAAGAAATTCACACCCCATCTTCACCTTTCCTGGGGTTTTGTGTACTTTTTGTATTACTAAAACAATATCTTTAATTCTCACACATTTGGTGCATTTGGGGAAATAATCTGCTTTACCAAATGTCACCAATACGACCGGTATTGTAATTTTACCTCCTTTCTGCCTGTTTTTTTTTTTTTAATTGCAAGCCTCTTCATTTTGACACTTATGTGCTTAACACTGGTTATCTATAACAGCAAAAAACCCCAGGAACTGAGTTGATGGAACTTCTCTCAGTCTCATAGACCCTGCTGAAGAGAGAAGAAAACAGGAACATACCAGAAGAACAATAGGTTCGTCGCTCACCGCACTTAACTCTGAAAGCTACTGAAAACAAGTATGCCAGGAGTACATCTTGATGCATTTCAAGTGATGATATAACCTGTCAGCTTAAAGATACTTCCACTGTTCTTTCCCCAGAACATTCTGTGGACTCCCATGCTCTTCTTGCATTTCAGCATTGACAGGAAAGGCTACATGGTGTCTGTGCCTACAGAATGCCAGCAAATCAAATGTGCCTGTCATTTTCCTTATCCCTGGAGACACCTTAAGTGTGAATCATACTTCCCAGGTATACCAAAGGGACTTTTGCAAATTTGATAGCCTTGACCTTGGTGAGCAGCAGGGACTGAATCACTCTCCTGCATGGCTCAGTTATAAGTCCTTGCTATGGACTTACACTATTGCAGCTGCCCTCTGTTACAGACATCTGTACAGACCTCTGCAGTCCATGGGTAGGAGCACACCTACACAACACACTCAGATACATGGCACATGTACATGACTATTTTCTGATAGTCACTCTGTAGTTAAAAGATGAATGGCTTTCATAGCAGAGTTTGTTTGAAAGAAGCCTATATGGATCACATCCAGTCACTCTATCTGCAACACAGAGAAGCAGCAGAAATTTAATATAGCTAAATGGAAAGAAACAGTTCAGTAGTCCTTTGTAGCAGGTCAACTGGAAAATATCTGACATCTATGTTTCCAATGTGATATACAACCATCCTCCATATTAAGTATCAGGAATCACAGATTCCATTTCCAGTTTTGGGAAATGAGAAGTTTATCTTTTATACTGATAATCCAGCCTCACTTAGTCATTCTGGAAAACAACATGGTAGTGTTGGAAAAGCTATGGATGTTCTGGCGAAGTGCTAAGACATGGATTCCAGGCATACAGATGACACCTTAAGCTGTACTGCAGATTTGGTCTGCAGTGCACCCGGCTCTCTTTGTTCTCTGTTATCATACAGGCTCTCTTTCCTTCCCAAGGAAATCAGAGCAAGAAAAATGGTGAGTGGCCATATCTCACTCACTGTAGGGCTGAAGCAAGCTGAGATCTGCATTATCTGGCAAGCATTCTGCATTCCCACCACTTCGCAAAGAACACAGAGATCTAGCATCAGTTTCTTGATAAAACATTAATTTAAAATAAAAGGAATTTTCAATCTGTTAATCCAATTAATTCTTTGTGGGGATTTAGGCTGTTAGTCAAGTTTAATGAAGTGAAGCAGAATAAAAGAAATAAATTAAATTTTTAACTCTATACCACATCTTAGACATTTCAATGAAATTTCTCCTTCGCTTAAAAGGATTTTCTTTTTTCCTGAGTGTGAGATAACAATTTCCAGTTCTTTTACATCATAACAGCTGTCCTTTCCAGGCTATATTTTAGAGAGAAAGAAGAAGAAGAGCTACCGATGGATGAGACTGAACTTTGACCTTTTAAAAGAGCTAACCTATGAAGCCAAGAGGATGATTGAGGGAGTGGTTTATGAGATGCGGATTTATGCTGTGAATTCTATTGGCATGTCCCGGCCAAGCCCTGCCTCGCAACCCTTCATGCCAATTGGTGAGTTTTGAAACTCCATGGTATTTTTAGGATAAAACAAATTTTTGATCTCTTTTCTTCAGCCACTCTTACAGCTAAAAAGAATGTGTCAGGAAAGAGGCTATCAACCACCTCTATATTCTATATTTAATCAATCTTTTCCTTTGTAATATTCCTCTATCTCTCATGCCTCTTCCTGAAGAGCACAGAGGTTCCAGTTTCATGAAATTGCTGATGAATTTTTAGTTGCTATAATTAGAAGTGTGAGAGTCAAGCTGAATCTCAAAAGGAGGAGAACTAATTGACAGAGATTTCCCTGTCCCTCACAGCTTCTCCCATTCCCCTATGGGTGCAAATATCACAGTATCCCGTCCAGTGCTCCCTTAATCCCAGCCCTCTCCACAGCTAAAAGGATAGATGATTAAGAAAATATTTGAGGAATGATTTTCTATAAATAATCCTTCCCAACACAGCAGCGCAGTGTCTCCTGCAGTCCCTGAGCAAGGAGCAAACTAAAGGAGTCCTCAGGAAGCCTGCCTGCTAAGACTTTTAGGGAGAAGACCCACAGAAATACAAATAGCTGGAGACTAAAATGACTAGAGTTTCTAAATCTACAAACAACAGCGAAGGGGGACAGCCTGCTGACGGAGATAATGTAAAAGCAGATGATGCAGTGAAGGAGTCAGAAGGGAAGGCTGAACTGCAAGAAGGGTCTCTTAATTCTGGATTTCAAACTCACAACAGCTGTTCTGCAACAAAAGAGATCAAACAAGAACCATCAAGTGGAGCTACTGAAAAAAAAGGTCCAAAGTTTTCATGGGATAGGCAGAGTTTACACTTGATTAAGGATAAAGTTCACACTTACTTCTTCAGAGAAGAGGTTTGGGGTTTTGATCGTGTACTGTGTGGTTGTGTATGATCCCAATTGCATTTGCCTCCTGTGTGCTGTACTTGCTCTCATGTGAATACAAAACTTTTGACAGTTACAGAAATGAAATTAGGTGATTTTTTGGGTTTGTTTTTTTTTTTTTTTTTTTTTTTTTTTCAATAACTTTGGGAACTAAGACTGATTTCAATTAGTTCCACAATATGAGAAACTGTATTTAACTTACCTTGTAAAATCTATTATGTATATTCAGTAGATGTTCAGTTTATAATACACATGTACACAGATTATGCCAAACAGAATTATTAACACAATTACTATTATGGTATGTATACTAAATTTTATGGTCCTACACCCTAAATGTTATTTTGATAAAGTTGTTATCTGTTTGCTTTTTGGTATCAATTATTTCACAGTAACATTAATGTGTATTTTGAATCCTCTAGTAAGGGCTTTTCTTGATTATTTTTAAATTAGTAGAAAATAGTCGTGCTGCAGAAGACTGAATTTAGCTAGTTGTCTTTCTGAACTGTGGGTTTATAAAAAGCCATGACACACCTGTTTAGAAGAGCTATGAAAAAGCTGTATCTAAATCAAAATTTTTCATCCCCAAAATATTTTTCTTAAGTATGTCTCTGTTAAAAATGCACAAATCAGAAGTAGTGTTTCTATAAACATGTAGTCATAAATTTGGGGGTTTTTTTCACTGTGTGAGTGAAGCGAAATTTAGGCACTGTCAGTTTGCTCCTCTGACCATGTGAATTTTGTCCAGTTACAATCAGGGTGTAAGTCAATTTGACTCTCTTCTACAAGTCTTTTTTCAGCAAGTTTTCTCTTAAGGGAGCATCTGTGAATACGAACTCCTATTTTAACCTCTTGTTCCTTAGCCTATAAGAGAAATCTTATGCTCTGCTTTTATTAAATGATGTAATAGGTGTTACACTTTACAACTGAGCTTCAGGTAGATTTATTTTATTAATATAGAGAGTGGTACATAAATCAGTGGTTAATCACTCTTTGTATAGCCTTTGAATTCTCATAGTTGTATTGCTATTTCTCAGAATCTACTTGTCTGTGTTTCCTTACAGCTCCTCCAAGTGAACCAACCCACTTCACAGTGGAGGATGTTTCTGACAGCACTGTTTCCTTGAAATGGAGGCCCCCTGAGAGGATTGGAGCTGGGGGATTAGATGGTTACATGGTGGAATACTGCAAAGATGGATGTAAGTAAGCATGAGTACTAGGCAGCAGCAACAGAGCATTTAAAAAATGCTACATTTGCAATAACTTCATCTCAATACACAATACCAAAAACCTAACTATTTCCAGCATGATCAAATTTTAACTCTAATCAATGTCTACCTTCCTTGCCAACCATCACCATACTCACTACAATGTGACTGTAAAACCATGGAAGTCACATCCATAATGTCATCTTCACAATCATCATAACCTTTAACAAACATAAGTAAAACAAAAATATCATTACTCTTCTATAGTCACTATTATACTTCTGTATCATCCATTAATTGCATATTCCTTAAAACAAATAAAATAACACAATTGTGACAACATCAGTCAAACTTTAAAGTAACCATTGCCTTACCTCATTTAAACTCTTACTGGTGATAAAGAGTGTAACAGCACCATATCTACATAATTCAATGTTCTGTTATGCTACAACATAATACTTATGTCATAAAAGTCCAAGAACAAATTTATAGTCACTTCAATATTGACATTTTCCCTGACACTAGGCTTGATTGCCAAATAATCTAAACTAGGGGGTTTACAGAGGTAATTTATGTAGAAACAATTTACAGTCTTTAATGAGACATCACTATAAAATTACCAAATTATCTATGTCATTGTCAGAGCAGAATGATTTTATCTGTCATATTTCTGTGCTTTATAAAAAAGAAGCACTAAGAATTCTGTTCTAATGTGTCAATTTAGAATTAAACAATAAATTCCAACAGTTATTTGCTCTATTATTGTTTTCAGCATATATGTCTCTCACTGATCTGTTTGGACAGACACAGAAGTTATATTTACTCCAAGAAAAATATTAAATTAAGGCTTCACTTTCTTGCTAAAGCTACTTCCAAAATTCTCCCCATTCTTATGTAGTAAAATAAATGTCAAGAACTCCCACAGCTCTAAGCTCTATAAAACAAAATGCCAAAGAAACTACCCAAAGATGATTCCCTTATCCTTAGCTATTTTGAGTAATGAAGTGTAGGGATTGCTTAACTCCACACGTAAACACACCTCCTTGATCTACAGTTCTTCTTCCAACTAATTTTATTCCATTTTAAGTATGGTGTTGTAACTTGAGTTCATTTTACCCTAATAGAAATTTACTTTCAATTGCAAACAAGGCATCAGTTTGGAAAAATAATGTGTTATTGCAATATGCAAATTCTGTAGCTACAGAATGGATTCCTGCTCTTCCTGGCCTAACTGAGCGCACATCTGCACTGATTAAAGATCTGGTCACAGGGGACAAACTTTATTTCCGTGTCAAGGCTGTAAACCTGGCTGGTGAGAGTGGAGCAGCAACAATAAAAGAGCCTGTTACTGTTCAAGAGATCCTGCGTGAGTATCTATACTGAATAAACCTTAGTCATTTATTTCCCCTGGCCAGAATTCTCCTTTATCTGAGAATAACACACAAACTGTTTTTGCACTTTGATTAGGTGCCCAGTGTCTTCTGACTCTGAGAACATCCCTACAGCACCCAGGTCTTATATTTGTAAAGCATAGCTCTTAAAATAAAATTCTACTTCTTACTTTCAAAATATGGACACTTCACCTCTTGCAATGGCACTGTCAGCATTTAAGAAACATCTAATATTTACCTCTCTGCTTGAAAAGCTGCTATATTACTGCAAAATGACTGTCTTGGCTATGGCAAGAGATCTATTTACTTCATTGTCGCAGATTATTAATTACCACCCTGGGTATCACCCAACAGCAGTAGATTAAAATTCATTTGACTGGAGTCCAAAAGACATCAAGAGCTGCTAATAGTGGATTCCTCAACCTTGGCTCACATGAAGTGTCTGCCAGAGTCTCACTGGCAGTAAATTGAGCCAATGTAAATAAAACAAAGTTTAATGTATCTCAATACCAAATGGTCATGAAGATAGATATGCCAACTGTATGTTAAGAAATTCCTTCTGTAAATAATAGGGAAAAGACTAAGGATTAAAGGAGAGCCTAGAAAGCTTTCTAGTGAGGTAGAGGAAAGCAGAGACTAGATGAAAAAAACATGAAGTAAGGTCCTTATTTGTTAGTGAAAAGTAAGATACTACAAAGAGATTCCACTACATCCACCTCAAAGAAAGAACTGCAACTGAATGACTGTAGGAAGATAAAGGAATCCATCAGTTGCTGTGCTTTCTGAGTAGGTCCATAAATTTACAAAGTGCTGCAATTTACAAGGTGCTGCAGTATCAATATAGCAATAGATAATAATCTATAATCACCCTTTTACTCTAATACATCCCTTGTCCCATTCTTTCTACTGAATTGAAGAATTTCTCCAAAGAAACAAAGTCCATATAGAAGAATCACATCCAACAGAGCCACCCAAATTTGGCATTTCAGATGTGACACATTTTCACAATGCTGCTGTCACTGAAAACATGCTCAGATGCAAATATATAACTGAGACTTAATGTTAACTTTATATCCAGTAGACAAATACATTTGAAACTACTGAAAGACTGACCTAGTCTCTAAAAGTATAAACAGTGTTTCCACAATTTTCTTATGTTTAAAATTATCTATTGCCTTATTTTTGCTATAAATAATGTTGCATATTATCAAAAGTTTTGTATTTAGTGTACTAATGCTTAACTGCAGAGCGTCCCAAATTCTGGCTGCCACGCCACCTCAGACAGACTCTGGTGAAGAAAGTGGGTGAGACAATCAATATTGTGATCCCTTTTCAGGTATGTATCAGCTTCTATTTTGTCATGGTTATTTATGATTACTTACCTAAAGCGGTTTTCCTAATGCAAGTTCCCATTGCTTGATTGCTTTAGCAGAATTACATAAGTATGGCTGATGATTCATTAAACCCTCTCAAAAATTTGAGAAGGGGAGGGAATCACTCTTTTTTTCAGTATTATTTTTTTTTACAGTCAGAGTTTCTTCCTTAAGCCCACCTTTTGGGGAAGAAGGAAAAAGTGGTCTAAGTAAATGTAAGCCCATTCCTGCTTACTGGGCACAGGAGGCACATTAGAGAGAAAGTAGACAGGCTAGTAGACAGTGCAAGAATCCAACTAATTACTCTTCTGGAACTAAGGCATATGATGTCACTGGGAAACTTCTTTGGCAAAAGTGTGTAGTGTGTATGTTGATTTCTGAAAGGCTGACTGCAAAAATCAGAGTTTTCACATGAACAGAAGACCCCAGTTGGCCCTGGGATGCAGAACTTGAGTGTGTGTACAAAGACCTGCTTGGGCATTACTGTGCCTGAAGCATACCAGAGCATGCTGAAGATTATCAAGGGTGCATATATGTAACTACATTTCACTAAGGCATGCACAAAATTACTAAAATATACACAAAAACTGACTTGACTAGTTACCTCATCTTGGCATTTTCTAGAGCTGTACAGACAACTATTTGACCGTTTCTAAAACCCCACATGCCTTTTTTCAGATGCAAGACTATAATATCAATAGAGTGCAAGAATTAGTGTGTGTAAGGAAGTAGTTTTCTAAGGGAGAAATAGCAAAAGAAATTGTAAATTACAGACTCTGGCTCTGACACAGATATCCTCAGTAATAACAGATCTATCACTTAATCAAGTCTTCAGTTAAAATTTCAAGACACTGAAATTTCTCTACAGTCCAGGACTGACATTTATAGAAATGTAATCCTGTTATTAGTGAAGAGCTTTGAAATCCTCATATAAAAGATGCTAGAGATATGTAAAACCTTTTTTCAATACACAATATGCACATATCACCTGCATTTTGTTTGAGCAGCACCAACAGGAAAAAAATTATTAGAGTAAAATTTATGTAAACTTAAAGGTACATGTCTTCTTGCACTACGGTTACTGAGTCACATGAAAAGTTGTGTTTTTCACAGAGATATATCTGATTAGTATGCAATTGCACACCCATGAATGCATAATTTTCTTGAATTACATGCTTGAATTATTTCAGCATAATCATAAGGCATTTTCTTTTCTTTCACATTTCTTATCTCCAAATTTTTAAAATTACTTTTTTACTGATGTCTAGCCACACACAAAATTCAAGACTTGTACATCTGCTATTTCTGAGTTATGTAATTATTTTTTTAAATCCGTAAAATAAACAGATATTTTTCCTGCTTTGACATCCAAGTTGAAGAAAAATTGCACAAATATGACAAGCTGTCCTATAAGCAGGGGAATAAAATTTAGCATTTTAGAGATTTGTGTCTTGTGTCCCCTTGTGCTGGTTTTGACTGGGTAGTTAATTTTCTTCATGGAAGTTACTATGGGGGGTCATGTTCTGAGTTAGTGCTGGAAAGAGTATTGATAATTTTGGGATGTTTTAGCTGTTGCTGAGAGCAGTGCATACACAGAGTCAAGACCTTCTCTGCTCCCCACAAGACTCTGCCATGACACCCCCATGTCACCACTGTCCCAGCACATGCAGCATCTCCTCTGCTGGGAGCAGCCCCTCTGCAATATTCCCAGAGATTTGCCAGTTCTGTGCCCTCTTCCCCAGCTGACACATCCTCACTTCCCTGGCCAGGGCAAGTGCATGTGGCAACTAATCCAGAGCTTCACTTAATCCTGCCTCATCATTCTGCTGTTGCCAAACCAAAGACTTAAAATACTGAGCTTTCCCTGACTTTTCTTAGTGGGAACACTAACTGAGGTTTTGGTATTTCACCCTGCCATCAATTTTCCACAGAACTGTACTAAGCTAATCATAGAGATTTCAAGTGCTCTGTCAAATTTGCCCAAATTGAACCAACTGATTGAAAAGTGATTTGAGTAGCTGATAAATCATGTGCTGGTATAAGCTCTTGTTTCCTAAAGGGTAAAGCTAACAAAAAATGCTAAAATCTATCCAGCAACACTAGATTTTACTCTGAGAACAAAACCAGAAGACTTTAATTCAAGAAGGTTTTTTTTTTTAGTTAATTAAATTTGTCATAGTGTTGAATTGCAGCTCTCACAGTATTAAGAATTGTAGCTATAGCTATTTAAAATCTGTAATACTGATGACCTTTCAAATAAAGCAAATAAAAAAGAACTTTTCCCTTCACATTTTGAAAAATTTTAAGTCACTGGTCATTTCTATTGCAGAAGACTCTAAGTAAATACAGACTCTAGTATCTAGTGGAAGTCAGTGCCTTCTGCTATTTACAGTCTCTGTGCAGCCTTTCCAGTGACCTCTGTGGTCACTACAGTATAATTCTGTGAAATACACTGTCAAGGTATCCTGGGTTTAATGCTATTGTCAGATCTATTTAAACCTTTAGATCAAAATGTCCAGAAAAGAAAGTAAAACATTGTTACCAACCTTTCTTCTGTTGAGTGCATTAAGCAGGTGGAACATTCTGGTGAAAGGAAGAGAATCAACACATTTTTGCTTCAAAATTAACTACATGGCATGTGATTGGAGGGGTATTATGTGCTACTAGTGGATAAAATTCACAGTAGTACAGCAGTCTATTTTGTCCATCATATATGTGTGAATATAGATATCTAAGAGCATTTAAATTAATTTTTCCCTGGCTGTGAACTCCCTAAGTTTCTCTGGTGCTATTTAGCTACTCTGTCACTCACTGTTCTCTCTCAGATTATCTATTACACATTGCAGAAATCCAATCCTCTGACATATGTATTAGGAACATGCTTTCTATCTGATTATGCTTTTCACAGTCTATAAATATAAGAGTATATGAAAACCAACACTTTGAACACTTGCAATCTTTCACTGGCTCTCAGAGCACCTCAAAAAAGGAGGAGCTGTGAGTGAAATATCTGATCAACCACACTAGAACACCAGCAGCAACAATCTAATCAGTCTGAAAACCTGCCAAGTATTTGTCTTGACAAAGTAGAAATTTAAATAAATGCCCATAGAACTATACTATTTAGGCAGATTAATTTTATTTTGAAAGCATTCCCTAGCCAAATTTTTCAAGGAGGATCTTCATATCACTTTAATATACAGGCATATGTGGGAAGTAAAATAGAGTTAGTTCTTGGCCTGTTCACAAATAATAAGACACAGATATGGAAAACAAAACACAAAAGAACCCACACCCTTTCACTTATTCCAGAATCTCTACTATACATTCCAGCTGAAGAGAGGAAGTAATTTCTTGCTCTAACAGGTTTTTGTGAGGGTTCTCTGAAACGAGACCAGGGTACAGGTACACTAGAACAGGACTAAACTCTCTTGTATCTATTATTTCAGCACTGCAGGCCTGAGTTTCTCTTAACTATGCCCCTTGGCAGAAAGCTGTAGGAAATTAATTTACCAGAGAGGGAGAGAATGGAAGATCCAGAACCATTGCTCATTCAAGGGGTATATATCAGCCTTGATGTAAAATAAACTGCAATACATCTGATGAGTTAGAGAAAAGAGCATCAATGAACAAATAGCAATTTCTAGGTGTTTGAGACATCCTTTAAGTATAATTTTGGACAGATCTTGGCCTCACTCTTATAAAAGGTGAAGTTTGTTTCCTAATACCACTGGAAAAAAAATGATGGTACACAGACCTTCTCAGCAAATACCAGACAAACCTGAAATAAAGGTGTAGCAATGCACAAAGATTTATTATTATTCTGCCTACCTTTAGGCACCAAAAGAGTCTGAGTATCTTGATCTCCCTCTGTAGGCTAAGGGAAGATATACAGTCTTTCAAAGTGAGAGAGAGGCTTTCAGTGGATTGAGGAACCTTCCAGAGCTGCTTTCTCTGCTGTTTACTGGAGGCAGTGTTCCCATTTCAGCACCCTAGCCTCCAGTTCAGGGCATCCTGAGCACAGCTGGCTGCTGCCCTGCAAGGTCCCACTTTCCCTCTCCAGCCATCTGAACTACTCCAGCCCTGTGCTGCACTATTTCACCTTGGCAATCTGTCAGAAACTAAAAAAAAATGCACTGAGTTATTTTCTGTTGGATTAAATATTAATACACTTAATAAATATGTTAGGGCCATTTTCTTCCTTGTTTGGAGTTGTACTGTAGAAGTAGCACTCCATTAACTTTTGAAGAATTAAATAGTACTTACCATTTTTCCTGGAAATGGCTGGATAAGAGTGGTGCACACCAATGATATCTCACTGATTCCACAATGCAATCTTCCATGGGTGTAGCAACCCTGACTGCTTAGGTTGACAGTCACCAAAATAATTTTGCAGTGCAGAAAGAATTATACAGTAAATTTCACGTCCCAACACTTCAAGGTGACAATAATTTTTCAAAATATCTTCAAAATGTGGACAGAGCATCAAATGTTTTAAAAAAGGGAGAAGAAGGGAAGCAGAGCTAATAAAGTCCTCAGGTGTGTAAGGGTTCTGCTAACAGCAATCAGAACAAGTCAGATCACCTGTTGGCTTCATGATGTGCCTGGGAAAGAGTACCAGACCAGCACAAGTATAGGATTTCTGGATTTCTTCTCAGTATCATTTCAGACTCTTACTAAATGGCATCCTCAGAGCATGGTGCCATTAAACCACACAGATGGTAGCAAATATTTGTCTGGAAGAAAACAGAAATTATTTATGGAGTTTACTATCTCAACTCTTTATTTTATATCAAGCTTTCTAGATTTATCGCTAAGAGAAAAATGGAAATACTAAAGCCTTAACATATTTTTTCTCTGTTTAGGGTAAACCAAGACCCAAAATCACTTGGCTGAAAGATGGTCAAACTTTAGACTCCAAAGATGTGGGAATTCGGAACAGCAACACGGACACCATCCTTTTCATCAGAAAAGCAGAGCTTCATCACTCAGGAGCATATGAAGTCACTCTTCAGATAGAAAACATGTCTGATAAAGTTGCAATAACAATACAAATCATAGGTAAGACCCTGACAACATCAGAATTAAGCAGATCATGCAAAACAAAATAATGGCCAGACTGAGACAACACAAAAAGGTCCAACTACCTCAGAATCCCTTCCCTTTCAATGGTTGCTTGCAGATGGTAGGATAAAGAGAAGGGCTAGCGTTCCTACTACATTTTCCCACCTTGAAATTATCTGTGTCCTAGAGACCTTCAGAAGGTGAGGGATATTTTATGTGTTCCATAGCCCTTTAGTGTTCTTTTGCTTGCCTAATTTTATCCAGTCTGTATTTAAACTAGGTCTAGTTTGAGAATCCAAGCATCCTTTTATAAGGAATTTCATTTTAAGTACATATACCTATTTGTTTTGATTTGAGTCTGTCTCCTAACAATTTCCTTTGATGTCCATACAGTTTTGTATCAGAAAAAAAACATGAATAATCATTCAGCTTTTCCATGTTACTCATTATTTTATAGCCTTCAGTCCCACTTGCCTCAGTTAACTTTCTCAAGTTTTACTCTCTTAATTTTGATTATTTTCAAACAGATGCCATTCCATATCCTTGATTATCCTTAACAATCTCCTTTCTATCACTCTGAGAGAGATAGAATTTCAGAGTTCTGGTGTTCTTAGGCACAGCCATATGGTACTCAAGGAAGGAAATATTAATCTTGGAATGGATGTAGTCCTACATGGTTTTTTTCATTAGAGAAGGATAGGAAGATAAAACCATTGCTGTAATATACCTCTACCATTCCAAAAATTAGAAGACATATTTCTGTGAATTTGAAAAATTCACATTTAATGCTTTACTTTTAAGAGTGTCCAGTTAGTCTGGGGCTTATTCTCTATTATACAATTTCCAGTCTCTTTTCTAATGTCATTTTAAAGGAATGCATTGCCAAAGTTTCCATAATTTCTGTTGGGATTATGTGAGAGATATTCCGAGATCTTGCCTATTCAGATTTCATTAATGTTTAGCCAGGGTTTTATTATTTATCCTCATTACCGCTCTTTTTAACATTCTTGATAACTGTTTTTATTTTCCTTTCCCTACACTTTCACACCGTTATCCCATATTTCTTCCAGTGTATCAATACATTTTTAGAATATGTGTTTCGGCTCAACTCCTAATGTTTTGGAATTAAAAATGCTGACTTTGCTCTGCTTAAAGTTTTATTAATTATGTTGGCAGAATGGGTATGCAATGGTGCCAACAGCAAACAAGAACAGCATAAAAAAATTGGAGCAAATATGTCTTAATACCAGCAGCTGCTTCTGCTCAAGAGGGTCACTGCAGTTCTGCAAGAGCAAAATAAGTAAATGGTAGCTAAAACAAAATAATCCCAAGAGTGCCAGAGAAGATGTGGATGCCCCATGCCTGGGGGGTGTCCAGGGCCAGGCTGGATGGGGCTCTGAGCAATCTGGTCTGCTGGAAGGTGTCCCTGCCACAGCATGGGGTTGGAACTGAAAGATCTTTGAGGTCCCTTCCAAGCCAAGCCATCCTCTGACCCTATGACTCAGGTAAAGGGGAGTAGTGCACCCTACACTCTAAATTATCTTTCTAAAACTGGTAAGTGACTCTTAATTCTGTCATTGCTCTTAGGCCATAGCATCAAGTATCTTCTGCCTATTGTTTGGTACTGTAGAAAGTCACAAAAACGCATCCATCTACCATTGCCAGAGAGTTATACCATACAGAAAATGAATGAAGAAAAGAACTAATCCTATCACACAGATAAGAGTTGGAGGACAGACATTAATTTTGTACTTCTTGAGCAGTTTGGTCAAATGAATGGGAATACATATATTTCATTTAATTCATGACCAAGAAGAGAAAGTACTTGTAACATATGCAGATACTTCTGCAATCAGGGCATCTACTCTGATTCTTGATTCTGTCATCAGAACTACCTCTTCTCAATTCTGTTAACTGCACTTTTTATTCCCCAGATTTTCTACTCTCTTGGCATGACAGAAATATGAGCCTGGCTTTCAGAGACACCACAAGTCAGTCAGTGATATTTTGAGGTGTCTTTCCATCAACTAACTTTTTAAATAGACTTTTCCCTTTGCAAAAGTCTCCTTGATAAAGAATTAATGCTCGTGGCTCCAGCACCTACCTTTTCTGGGGGGAAGGCAAGAGTGCAGGTAGCCAAAAGCTCTGCTGTGGTGATGAGTCAGGTCAGCTCCAAACAAGAGGAAACAATTCTGTTATTGCCATCACCTTCCCTTGTTGCCAAAACAGTTTTTGCCATTTACTCCACAGATCAAAAAAATAGGCACTTTTTCTATGGGAATACAGTATTTATTAATGACTTTTAGAAAGTTCTAAAATAATGAAAATATCTCCAATCTCTGGAGAATGTGGTTCCCTCAACTTCTTTCACCCTCTGTATGAATCAATAAATTATGTCTTTCATCATTACTTCTATTGACTGAAGCAAACATCAGTTCTATATTTTTTAACGGGAATTAATTATTTTTCTCATTGTGTATTATTTGAAAACATAAATTATAATTTATCTTTGAAAGATAAATCACACTTTAGCTCTTCTTCCCATTGTATAAATTTCATTAGTTTGCAAAACTCCTCAGCTGAGCTTGTGCTGAGGGTAAGACAGGATACTTCCTCAGAATATAAATCCCCACTCTGACACAGTGCCCTTCAGAGGAAAATAACTTGGATAAGAAGCATCAGTAAGTTTAACTTTTCCCATCCTCTATCTACAAACTAAAGATGTACTGGTTATTACTGAGAAAGAAATATTCTACCATTCTACAAAGAAATTTTGGATAGATCTTCTTGCAGATTGCATTATCTCACTGAACCACAATGATCAAGAACATAAAAACCCATGTAGCAAATGTATCCACCTCTGACTTTTTAAAGGTTGTTCTTCACAAATATACAGACAGGTGTATAGAATGAAAAATTCTTCTCTTAAATCAGAATAGATTAATTGATTTCTGTATAATGAAGATACATATCTAACAAAACAAATAGGGTTTTTTTCTTCTAAGTTGTGATTCAAGTTGACAACAAATGCATTTCCACATCCCCATAAGCAGTATTGTTCCTTTGACAACATATTGCCATTCCCTACTTCAGAAACAGAGAAGGAAATGTAAGAAGGCTTTATCTGGTTGGTGGCTGCTGAGAAACAGAGAAGATGGCAGGTTTTTCTCTGAAATGTTAGTGTAAGATAGGCAGAAAGAGGATGGTAAGTGGAATGAGAACCATGCATTCCATATCCCTTATCAGACATCATGCAGTGTTCTAGTAGGACTTTGAAGGAGGACAGTAGGGGTCAAACCTAATTATAAAGCACTCTTCAATTCCAAAGTTTGTCAGTGAAAAAAAAAAATAGCACATTATGCTTTGATGTAGAAAGTCACAGTTCCTCTAATAACAAAGGCTGATTTATTACTGGTTTGCATATCCTTTTTTAAGGAATTAAATTACAAGTCACCTATAATTACATTCCTCTGTGCTTTGCTCATCTCAAACCTACCATTTTCTTAATTTTTCCAGTTTAGCTACAGAATGGGGAGACAGTTTCTCATCAGCTGTCTAGAATGATCTTGAACTATTTTTCACTCAATAACAAAATGAACTATCCAGCTGTCCCCAGCAGGCCCCATAATTGGGTGCAACAATCTAACATCAAAAAGGTGAACTGGTGTCCTCAAATTAAAAAAGACAGAAATATTATTTAATAAATCTAATCTAAATCTACAGCATTTGACTAAACAACATGGTATAAATATGAATTATCCTCAAAAAGAAAAAAAGAAAATTATTATAATTTCATTCTATGTTGTTTTTCCTCAGCTGTAAGGCACATACCCATTGCCCTGGTTGTTATAGCAATGTAGATAAATGGCCAAGAAACTGCACTGAGGTAAAAAAAATAAGTAATAAAACTGCAGTTAAAGAGTTTATCACATCCGCCCAAACAACACAAACTTCTTATTCCATTTTAAAGATGTTACTAATTCTAGTGTGTTTTCTATTTCTCCATAGGATTCAGGTGTCTCAAAAAAATATTCAAAGGGTATTTGAAAATTTCCCAATTTTCTTGTTTATAGTTTTATCTTCACATTAATGAAGTGTGTTGCTATGGAATGTTACAGACTGCTATCAGGTTCTATTATTTTTTTCCCTGCATGGGGAAATGACAAAGCTCTTGGATCTTGAACTAAAAGCTAAGGTGTTTTCTTATGTCTCCTCTGCAGACAAGCCTGGTCCTCCTCAGAATATAAAGCTTGTAGATGTTTGGGGATTTAATGCAGCCCTGGAGTGGACTCCTCCCCAAGATGATGGCAATGCTCAGATCTTGGGCTACACAGTCCAGAAAGCTGACAAAAAAACAATGGTAAGAACTTGGCTGGGTCCGTGGCTTTGAAGGGAGTTAAACCAGCACCTGCTCTGGGAGCACAGAGACTTGAGGGAAATAGCTGAGCTCATGACACTCGTTTATGTGTCCAAGGTGTCCTGTGGCACCTCAGAAGCAATTAAACATTGAAAAATACAATCTTAAAAAACCCCAAAAGGTGAAAGATTAAATTAAATACTCAGTAGAAAATGGAAGAGAGATCAAGCCTGTGCAGTCTCTGGTGATGACTGCATAGACAGTTCTCCTTAGAAGGTGGAATTATACTTTTTATTTGCAATTATATTTTTCATAAATGCAGGAAAGGATTGAAGGGGAGGGAGTAAGAGTTAGACTTGAAGTGAGATGCTAGGCATACCAGGGTATGTACTGGGAGAGATATGTATACCTGTCAAACTGGAAAATACCTTTCTCATGGAAGATCCCATTAAGCAGTCACACTCTGAGTACACATCTTGTACCAGATTCCCCAGATACGAGTATGGCTAAAATATGGTAGAGAGGCGAGGGAATTTTTTTCTCAAAATGGAAGCATTCATACACCTATCACACCACCAGCATATAAAAATCAGAAAATATATCAGCTGATCTCCACAGGAAGCAACATAATATTAATTTCACAGGTTAGTGTTAAATACCTGTCTGCCTGTCTTTTCCTTGTAGCAAAAAAAAAATCTCTCCCTAACAGAAGTTGCACCAGTCTGACCTCTCATAACATCTTTCTAAACAGTGCAGTCTTGTTACAGGAATGGTACACGGTTTTCGATCACTATCGTCGCACAAACTGTATCGTGTCAGACCTGATTATGGGAAATGAGTATTTTTTTCGAGTCTTCAGTGAAAATTTGTGTGGACTGAGTGAAACTGCTGCAACTACCAAAAATCCTGCCCATATCCAAAAAACAGGTAACATATTCTTCAAACCAAAGATCACAAAAGCCACTAAGTATCAGAAGTAATACACTGGCAAATGGAAAATACAGTTTTACTAGCTGCACCCCTAAAGATATTTTCAATATTTAGTAACTAGCACTTATAGAGAAGTTTAGCATCAAGAGCCTTTATCTAGGAAGATCTGTACTAATACAAATGTTAATTAAAAATATTTAATCATGCAGTCTTCCTAGACTATATTGTCTGAAGTAAATAATACAACAGGGGGATTATATTTATATTTTGGGGTTAAAAGTTGAAGATGTCTGTGGTGAAGACTTTCTCTGCACACATATGGCTGTCATATTTTTAACAGAAGCTGAAAACCAATGATTACCAGGACCTTTTACTTTAACTAACACATTAAACATGAGATGTGTTTTAGAACGAAATGTATTTAAAGACTTTTTATATCACAATGCCAAAAGCTTTGAAGTTTCTTAAAACCATACAGATAAATTATGACAGATTGATGATAGATGATGGTAGATTGTACACAAGTCAGCAGAACTGCCAACACGGTTCTTACTATTTTGTCTCTTTGAACTGCAGGCACCACTTATAAACCCCCTTGTTACAAAGAACACGACTTCTCCGAAGCTCCTAAATTCACCCACCCTCTGGTGAACCGCTCTGTGATTGCAGGATACAACACCACACTCAGCTGTGCTGTCAGAGGGATCCCCAAGGTACACGCCAGCACTGTCACTCAGACTGTTGCTGCACCAAGGCAAGAACTCCTGCCAGTTCAGGGTGGCTGAGAGTGGCATGGCCGCAGAAAGGAGCAGGACCCAGCCGTGTCCCGGGGCTGCAGAGAGGGGGACGAGCGCTGGGGGGTCTGTGCACGGCCAGGGGGGCAACGCAGTGAAGGGGACAGAGGGAAGGGCACTCACTGCTGGTGGTGACACCACACCACTGGAAATGTAGCACCTCTGCACAAATGCTATCACTGGAGAAGGTAAACAATGACAAAATGATCTGCTCACAATCTATACTTTGCTCTCTTCACACTTTCAAGAAAACTGCAGCTGAATGTCATCTACTGCTCCACTAACCAAGTGACACAGAGGCACAGAGGTTTTCTGTTACACCCATGCATCCACATAAGTTTTTGACAGTCTGAGCTATTTTGCAAAACTAACTAGAATAAGGCCTGGCCACAAGTGAAGTTTTTTGTGGGTCTTTTGTTGGTTTCATTTTTTAATCTTGCAGGAATATTTTCTCATTATAAATATATTTATTAAAGTCCTATCAAAGGGTACATAAAGATGTACTATTTTGTTAATTGGGAACAAGCAGTACAAACTGTATCAGCTAGGAGCTAAATTTAGACTTCTCAGAAAAGGGAAATAAGATTTTTCTCTGCAGTGAAGGAATTTACCATATTATGACATAATCTTGTCTTAAATCCCTTCATGTCTGGCTGCTTATTTTCAGCTTCTTTCACTACCTCATACCTGTGAAGGGATCTGATTGCTACAGAGCAAAACCTGCAACAATCAGTCAGTCCAAACTGAAAAAAAAAATCATTTGTTGCAGTCCATTGGACAAAGAAGGAGCTCCAGACAAAACTCAAAAGTCAAAAGGAAGCATATCCATGTAAATAGCTTCAAAAACCCAACAACATTACAGAATAAACACCAGCAACTGTAGGCAAAATCCATCTTCCAGTAGCTGCCTCAGTTTAGGAATGACAGTGCTATTGACAATATTCCCTCTTGGTTAACTGACATTTTTGTGCATCTGCATCCACTTCATTCTGTTTCCATGGTTTTAAGAAGATTCTTTAAAAACCTTCTCAATTTTACAGCTCTTCTTGTGCAGTAATGGAAGGCTTTGGAATGCAGGCATGCTACCTCCTCCTTCACATTAGCCTGAAGGATCCAAGTAGTCCTCAACCCTCAGTACACCTAATGCTCTTAAAGCAGCTTTTCCAGATATGTTTTTGTACTTCCATTGCCCAAATTAACCTTGATAAAATGTTTCAGTACATGCAGCAGTGCTCTGCAAAAGCTCTCATTACCTTATGTGCATGAAAAGTTCCCAGTTCTTAATAACTGTAGATTCTCAAGCACACCTCAGGATGATTTGTAGGGCATGGAAAAGTTAACACTGCAAGCAGAGACACTACTCATGCCCTGCCAGTAATGAAGTATAACAAGAGACATATACCCAGAAAGATAAAGAGGCTATAGAGAAACAAGAAAAATGTGTTAAGGCAGGAAAAATTTCAGCAGAGATCTGTCAAGAAAATTAAGCAAGTGGCAGGTGGGATGCACTGGATTAATACACCACAGGTCAAAGACAAAAGTGATTCAGTAGATTTGAATGCACTCTGTAAAAACAGTGCAGTAGTTCTGGGGTTTATGGATGAAGAAACAGAAGACATTAATTCTATAAGAAAAACAGATAAATGTTAAGCTTGGTTTTCCATTCTTTAAAGACTGTTTCTTCACTGTATATACTATTAAGATAGAAACAAACAAAAGCAGAATATGAGATTTTTCATTTTCAAAATTTAGTTTATAAAAATTAAAGGCACATTTTCAGGCACTGGAAACAAAACATAAGAGTTTGAACTGGTATAGAAGTAACCACTTCATACTATAATGGAAGCCAACAGGAACTTAATTTTTAAATTCCTGAAGTTTCTAGAGATATGCTAGAGAATTTGGAAAATACTCTTCTGGGCTAAATCTTGGCATCCTAATTTGGTCACCAAGCACCTGTGGACTTTTATGATACTTCTGTTCTAATAATCTGTGACATTTAATTCCCCTTCAGTAAGATACTTGTAGCATTCAAATACATTTTAATAACTGCAACTAAATAACTCCTAAGTGGATAGATTTATAGACAACTAATAGGGGTTGGGGTTTTTTTTCTTTAAATTGCAATAAAACAGGGCAAAAACATACATTTTCTATATGCTATTTTTGAGTTTAAAAAATATTGAACTTTTGAACTATTGGTTTCATGCATATCTACTGAATGAGATGTTCCTTGAAAAATTATTATCAGTTCTTTGTAAATAGTCCTCATAATACTATTTAGCCTTTGATGGCTACATTGAGGCTGCAAAATCAGGTGTAAATCTTCCATTCCCTACCTTCTATTTTAAAAAAATCTTCTTTTTTGTTCTTCAGCCAAAGATATTCTGGTTCAAAAACAAAATGGATCTCTCTGGGGATGCCAAGTACCGCATGTTCAGTAAGCAGGGGGTGTTGACCCTGGAGATCAGAAAACCCACTCCCTTTGACGGAGGCATTTACACCTGCAAAGCTGTGAATGAGTGTGGTGAAGCTGAAATAGAGTGCAGGCTGGATGTCAGAGGTAACAGATTAATCCTATGGATAACCCCAACAAGGCAATGAAGAGAGAGTAATGGGTAGTTAAAGGAAATTAAATCATAGTTCCCCTTTATCTAACCCTGATTTTTTGGGTGGTATATAAAAAGTTTGTTAATTACGTGCATCAGCAAGATTGTTTTTTCATTCTGAAGCATTATGATAGAATTGGGTTACTTGCTAGATAATACAAGTCTGGTGATGTACAATTATTGCACTTCTGACTTCCTATTTCTAGAGCAGATACTTAGCAGTGGAAGGGAGGTCGATCTACAACCACTGCATTGAGGATAACTTCATTAGACTTTGTGTTTATTCCATAACTGAAGGTTTTAAATCAAGTCATTGGCTATTAGACATATGTAATAGGTAGTACATGCTACATCACAAACGTTTTTTGAACAGTAACAAATTATTTTGTTTGTAAAAAGGACCAGGAACAAAAGTTACATGTTTATAACACAATAAAAAAAATCAAATATTAAATAACTTTTGTAAAGATGCTAGCAAAGTATCTATTTATCAATACAAATGTAGCTGCAAAAGTGACCTACATAATAGTAATTGATGGAAATCCATTTTCAGCACAGCAAGCCTGAAGGTATTTCTACACAGCACCAAGCTGAATATTTGACTCAGTGCTAAATCAGGAATGTGCATACAGGACACCTTGCAGTGCTGGGTGCCAGTACCCTCAGGGCTCACAGATTAATTTTATCATCATCTGAAGATTGCTTTAGGAACGTTAAATCTTCTTAGAATCATCAAATAAAAGCAACTAGTAGAGAGTGTCCACATTTCACTTTCAGTACCATGTCTCAATTTTAAATTAGCATTATTTAATGTCTGATAACATCTTGAACTTTTTTTCATTCTCCAGCACCTCAGTAAAACTCTGAATCTCAGTTGATCTGCAAGTCAAGGTACGAATAAAATTAATTCAGCTGGATGAAGGAGCAATGGCTGTTTGGTCAGATCTATGAATAAACAATCATTAAATATTCATGGTAGAGACTTTTTAGAATGTTTATAATGTTGGTGGGGATATGTGTTTGTTTTGATTTCTGTTTGTTTTTTCAATAGTCAGTATTTCATGGGGGTCCACCTTTAATACACTGTGCCAGTGTAAAAGTTTGTAAGAATAACAGAATACTTGGTTGTCATTTTTTCTTAATTCACTACAAGCCCTCCCTCTAAGAGACTGTTATTTATTAAAGTAGGGCTAACAAATATCAATAGCCTTGCTTCAACAAAGAAAGTATACTTAACATTTAAATGCATATAGATGTGTAATGTACATTTTAGACTTTAAAAGAATGAAGTCGTGTAATAGCAATCAGGTAATGTATTTGACAATAAATCCTTCTTCCCATTTTCTGTCTCAGTATTAGAGTGGAACTTGAAAAGAAGAAAAGTGAAGAGATTAATGAAACATAAATTCTGCTCATTTAGGAGTCCTGCTCATCTTAGAAGTCACATAATACACATGTACAAGGAGGCAGCAGTGTTCTGTATTGTCCTGCTCACTCGGTGTGTTTTCAGACAATATTTCCTCTTTTCATATATCTGTCATAGTTAGATTGCCCTTGTCTCCACATGAAGAAATTGGAAGAAATCAAGATAAAATGTTTCCCCCATTACATACATAAAATATATTTTTTAAAAATAGTAAAACTATGTAAAACTGAAAAAACCCCTAGTTGTTTCCTAATGTCTGAAACAAGCATAAATCCCCCAATTCTACAGTTCACTCCATTTTCTCTTTGCAGAACTCTGACATTCTTCATAAGAAACAAGTAGCTCAGAATAACGAAGCAGTAAGATATTATTTACAGTATATAATCATTATAATTGTCTCTGTACAGCAGAATGTAACTTTAATTCCTACTGTTTTTACTGTCAGTGACTGCTTGAAATATCCACTGCTGTGCTCTCGAGCAGAACTGTGTCCAAATCACACCACTTGGGAGCCACTGACTATAGCTACTGTTCTCCTTCTTCTAGAAAATAATTCCTTTGATAAGTACTCACTATTTGTTTTCTAGCTTTTAAAAAGACACCAGCAGGGAATTGCAGTTATTAGATGTTTTTTCCTACCAATCAGAGACACCACACGAATCTACAAGGATAATTTTGCACATCAGATGAAACAGTGAAAATTCTAGCAAGGGAGACTATTTGCACATAAATAAAAAACTTTAAAGTAGAAGCTTGGAATGAATGTAATAAACTCACTGTCATAACTCTTCCTGAAGGTTTGTGAAAGGCTATGAGTGATATGTCGGCATTTTTGCAGATGATTTTGTCTAAGCAAATGACACAATAGCATTTCTAGCTTCTCACCTACAAGTTTGAGGAATATTTGGATTAGGATTTCTTCTGCACTAGTTGATAGTTTCTGGCTGGGAGGTACATTTTAATGATCACAGTACAGCAGACAGCAGGAAGATTATATTAATCCAGGCAGCATTGCCTTTTGGAAGAAGCTACACAAAGGAACTGAAGCAACACTCCTACCCTGCCTCCAACATGCCACTTGGGATGGCAAAGCCTGACACAGCGTGTTAGTTGTATTAACCAGATGTATTAATGCATCTTCATAATAAAAGCACTGATGGTTATGAGATGTGTATTTTAATGATTTCACTATGGTATCAGAACAAAAAAGGATACCCTCTAAACCCAAAGCAAACTTATTCCAGGTTAACACTTGTCTGTTGCATATTGTTGTTATTCAACAAATAAATACAATTTAAAAAGGAAAACATGCATCCAGGTTTATATTGTTTTGTGCTTACATTTTCTGAGCAATGCTATTATTTTTTTTAAAAGGCACATACCACAAATAAAAGATAGAGATTATCCATATTCTAAAGAACCTGTGACCAGAATGCAGTGGACCAAGAGGACCATCCCAGCATCTGTGGGACAAAGCATATTGCAAAGCAGTGACTGAATTGCAAGAGTTGGAGCCTAATTCCATAGGGCCTTCTAAGAATGCTGCAGTTGAAAAACACAAATTAGTTTTGATTTCCAAAACTTCCAATGACAATGAGTCAAATGCAAATCCAAAGCATTAACAAAAGAGAAGCGCTAATTCTAGCTAGGTTTTTAAAAAGTTTTCATAAAAATGAGAATTCTGAGTTCAAAACTAACCACTCCTCACACTGAAAAGAGGAAAAGGGGGAAGGTGCACCTGCAAAATCTCAATTTCCTGTATTTTTTTCAAGAAAGGTCTTCAGAAAATTGTAGGTGTTTATTGATGTTTTGCCAGCATATACTATTGTCATTTATCTGTTCAGTGGCTGTCATAGATCTTGAAAGTAGAGTCACTAATTGTCCATTAATTCCATGCTGGTAATAAATAAATTATTAAGTAAATAACCTTCATCCCAATCTGATTAAAACTATGTACACTGAGAAACTTCTCCCAAACCTACCTGGTTAAGAACAACGAAGTATCTCCCAATTTTTCCCCCCTTATACCTGAAAGACTTGATGAAAGACAGTTTACACTGTCATTTCCTGGGTGAGATCTACTCTGATGTAAAATCAGCCTTATCTCTAAATTTCATGGCAAATATTCTTACCTTGTAGTTGTTTAGTACTGTTAGAAGTGTGCAAGGTTTGTTCAATAGTAAAAGAAAGAATTAATATAGGTCATAAAATCTAAAATTTCCTACCTAGCAGCATTCTCTTTTAGCACACTAAGTGCCTTTTACTTTCAAAACCAGCAGTCTTACTGAAGTCCTTCCAGTAGTTTCTCCATCAAAACAAAAAAAAAAATCTGTTATTGCTCCTGTGAAAAGCCCCTTCCATATGAAAAATATATGTAACTTCAACAAACATAACCTCTTTCGGCTGAGTATTTCTATCCAGTTGGATGTGAAACTGACTGTAAGTTTTGATGCTTCCACAATTTCCATTTAAATCCTATCAATTGAGGCTGCTGGTTGGCTGTTCAGTGTTCACATGTCTTTCCTCCTGATGGAAATACTTGGATGCTTTGGATTAACATATGTAAGATTTATTTGAAGCACAGGGATGCTACAGAGCATTACTAAAGCCCAGTGCTTCACTTCAGGTAAGAAACATCAACTCTAATATATTATGACAAGAAAAAACACTTACAGTACTCCTACCAGCCCAGCTCTCAGGGTGGCATTACCTGCCAAACAAACGCTCTGCTGACACTTTAGCCTAGGACAACACGCACTCCACACCACAGCATCAATTCTTTTGTTTCAGCACTGTTTTGTAAATACTCTAAGTAAACAATATTTACTTATTCCTGGTAATGAGAAGCTTCACGTAATACTCTTCATAAAAGCCACCAGCTGGACTTAAACTGTCAAATGCAAACAAACCTTATCTGAGCACCTTGTTTCCTTGAGCTTGCCTTAGTGCTCAAATCCTGACTATTATTCTGTGAGCAAATAATAACAGCAAAAGGAGTTAATGATTTACCATTACTTCTTAAAACAACAAAGAAAAGGGCCAAAGAGCTCTCTCGTGCTGCAGCACCAGCTCTCCCCTTCAGTGCCAGGAACTCTCCCACCCACTTGTCAGCTCTTACTCCAAGAGATTATTGCTCAGGGTTGCAAACCCTGAAGAAAATCTCTTCAAATTGTGGTGTGAGTATAACAGATTAAGGTAAAGCTGCTGGGTTTCCTCCTTTTCCTCTTCAGCAGGTTTGTACAGAAGCTGCCAAAGGCTGTGTGGGAGTTAACGGATGGTCCCCCATGGAGATTAATTCTTTTTTCCTATTAACAAATAACAATGGATCAGTTGAAGCTAAAGAAGGAAATTACACTTATATCCACACAGCAGTAAGGACAGTGACTGTTTGGCAGAGCTTCTCAGGTTGCAGCCTGTTCTGTATTCTGCTACCATAGACCCACAACTATTACTTTAAAACTAGCAGGCTTATCTGTGGTGACAGCTGCAGAATAAAAGTGTTGTTTCTTTCCTGAGCCTTAGTTTTCTGACTCGTTAATAAAAATCTCAGGAGTATTTCATTCCCAGGCCACTGTAAATCCAAGTATATGCTCTAATACTAAAGCTATTCCTGCAGAAAGGATGTCAACTCCTAATATATATTTTATACCACCCACAATGCAGGTGAATACCTGTGTGTCTAAAGAAGGGTAACCTGTGTAATAAGAAGCTACATCAGTGTATGTTGTCACCAGTGTTTCCATGACATCAGTGATCTAGATGACCTTCAAAGGTCCCTTTCAATCCAAACTGTTCTATTATTCTATAATTCTTAAGCAGCTTTGCTGCCTAAGCTACAACACTTATGTGATATAGGGGGGTAAAATGCAAATTCAATTGACTGAGTTCAAATTGTCTCAACAAAATGTTGATGAGAAGTGCCTCACCTGTCTTGAGATTATCTTCCTCTTCCTCTCTGTAAGACAGAGGAACAGTTATCTTTACCAACTTCTTCAGTTTTTTCTAGGCTTACTATATCAAATTACATTAAAAATCAGTTCTACTTGTTGAAAATTACAGTGAGAGATCAAGACATTTCTATATATTATTTTAACAATTTTTCAGTGCAGGACATGCCAGACATGTAAAGATAGTCTCAGTACATCTCACCTCCAGGTTTCATTCCTTATAAGAAAGGATTATTGTTCTAGCTATTTCAAGAGATATCTACAATTGAATAGAATTATTAAAACACAAGAAAATATTATTTGGTAGAACTTTTTCCTTAATTGAATCATACGATGGCCATTCAAAGGACAGTAGCAAGAGAAAATAACTTTTCTGGAAGTCATAAAAATTATTTCTGTTGCTTTGATCACAGAATTACTTTGAAACAAAATCCTTGCATGTATTTAGGAGAAAAGTTTGTCACTAACATGTCGTCTCAGAGCAGGTTTAGAACTACAAGCTGTTTCTGTCTCCTTACAAATGAATTTTATAAGAACATTCTGCTGAGATTAAAAATAGCCCCACTGATACCTTTCAAGTGCTTACCAAGAAGAGAACTCTATTTTTGGGAAACAAAAGCTGTCATAGAGATATCCTTTACTTGTCATTGGGCAGGGTCCCCACAGCAGTCTGCATAAGCAACACATCCTAAACAGCATGAACTGGTGAAAGAGAAACAGATAAGAACAGCCTCACTTATTAGATCCAGATATAGAAAAAATAGTTGAGCATCTGCTCTCTTTGCCAGACAGAAACATTGACAATAACCAGCCCTGAAAGCATAGATAAGTGTCATACCTATGAACACATTTCAGTCAATAATTGTGTATTGAGACAGCTGTACCAAAGACAAATAATCTAAAAAAGTGGCTAATCTAAAATATATAAAATATCAGTGGATATTCAAATGTAAAACAAAAGTGTTAACTGTGTTCCCTTTTTCTTCTTCTCCATGGATAATAGTTTGGACGTGATTTTGTGTTCTATACAATGTATGTAGCAAATATAAACAATATACAAAGTTTCCATTGTTTTGCTCGAAAGTATAAGTTGTAGGACCCAAATACATGAACCCAAATTGTGGATGGATACACTTTAACCTTCAATAAGGTTGCATTTCCTTGGTACCTATCGTAATGCTAGCAATTGCCCCAGAAATCCAGATGCATTCCAGGAAATTATGATCACAAAAGACTATCAATATAACTCTCAAATACACTTTTTTAATTTACTTACAGTTTCATATACCCAGGAAAAAAATTGCCAAAAAATCCAAGCGTCTCTTCTTCTTTGGAGGTGAGCTCATTGTATGTGATGCCTGAAAAGAAAACCCCAAGTATAGTAGATTTTGATCATAGGAAAGTCCTCAAAAATTTCTACCTGAAAACAGGACTTGTTCTTTCTCACTGGTATAAGGGGGGATTACTGGACTGTGTATTTACAAAGCATAGTATTTACTTTTATGATTTTTGTTTCCTATAGTACTGAAAAACATTAACAATTTATTAAAAAATTTAGGTTACAAATCTGATTTACACAAATGTATTTATTCTTAATATCAGATTAAGTAGTTAAGCCATTTCTAACAAGCAGTGTAGGGAAGAGCTGCTACTGGAAGCTATCCCAGAACAGCAGCACTAAGACTGGAAACCTTTTCCCTTCCCTCTGTAGCACTCTCCAGCACTCCACCGAAAATAACTTGATTTAAATGCAAGAGGAGTAAGCATGGAATAAGGCTGAGAATGAAAGAAGATGACAGAGCA